TGCTCTTCGCTGGTTATGACGACTTTGAGTGCAAGGTAAGCCACGCTTGGGATTAATAATGATGCATCTGGTGCTGACTTTCCACAACTAGGTCTGGGATATTACACGAGGCGAAAAGGTTGGCTCACTGGTGGGCCACGAGAACCGTGTGAGCTGCTTGGGCGTGAGCAACGACGGCATCAGCTTGTGCACAGGTTCATGGGACTCTCTGGTATGTTTCAACAATACAGTTGTCTTCGAGATTGACCGCTAACTCCTTCTACAGCTCAAGGTTTGGGCCTACTAAAATGCCTAATCTATGACACAGACGGGCTTTCACGCATATGCCGATTCAAGTCTCTCCCATGACTTCATCAACCATCCGCATTCAACGACTATATTACCCGCCAATTTCGGACACCCGACCACACGCATATCAGGCTTGCGAATACTGGCGTACGCAGGACGAAGTGACGAAACGTGCCCTACTTTTACACCATTTACTTTTTATCATTATCTATTTATTTTTTTGGCCGATGCATGAGCAGCACTTCCATGTTTCGTGGAGGCATCTCAACCCACTTCTTTCGGCAGGCAGTCGGGAAAAAAGGAAAACCAGCCGACTTGATACCTTTTGCTTCCCCAAGTTCCCTTGATCTCTCACTATTTTGTTTTTCTTTTTGACTTTTTTTTTTCCGTTTCCCGCCTCTGATCCCCCAAAAATTACTTGCACAAGTTTCTGCGTTTTTTTCATTTTCCCGATAAGCTTCTGGGTCGTTGGCGACGGGCGGGGTGTATTACTTGATGGTTTTTTTATTCTTCTTCTTCTATTGTCCTCCAGATTTTTTTTTTCTGTGTCTATGTGTTCTCTGGCTCTGCTTCTGCGGTGTTTTTCTCCAACTTTTTAATATGCCGCGGTCGAGCGAGTTTACTTGTTTGTTTTGTTTTCTTTTTTCTTAGAAGGACAACGCATAATAACAGAGCTCATGAGAACCCAAAAAGAAAAGAAAAGATCCTGGAGAGTAAAGACGAGAGAGAGAGAGGGGGGGGAGGCGGAAGGATTTTACTTGGAAGAAGGGGAAGGGAGGATTATAGCGAAGGGAAATGGGATGTTGGTGGGTTTTTAGTTGGTTTTATAACAAAGGAGGAGCACAAGTTCAAAAAGCTTCCAGATAATACAGTACGATGATTCAACAAGACCGGGCCGCTTTTTACTTTTTCTTTACTCTTTTGAGCTCCTCTATTTCTGGAATATATATAAATTATGACTAGGTATATGCAAAGAAAGAGGATGCAAAAGCACATATACAATGAGAAGAGAGAGACGCGAGAGAACAAGACAACGCAAGAGAGAGATGTGTTGTTCGCGTTGATGGGTGCTTTGGAATGAGTTTGTTGGAAGGGATGCAATACCTTGAGAGGAGGCTTCGTCTGGTTTTCTTTTTCTTCTTCTTTTTCTTCTTTTCTACCTTGTCATTTCAAATTTTCTTTTGTTTTGCATTCTGTGATAGGTAAAATTGCGTTTTGTATTTTTTAGTTGCTCTTTTTTGATACAATATGTTACTTTATTCACTGCATTAAGGAGATAAATCCCTTTGTATCTATATATCCCCATCTTCTACAAATGCAATAACATTCCAGATCAGACGTACCTACGGCCTTATTCTTGGCAAAAATATCAAAAAGTTATTGAATCCTCGCTACAAGAAAACGCTGTCCTGCTTTATCGTCGCGTTTGCTTGGAGGACACAGAAAACGAGGTTTGCAATCTTCATGTACTGAAGAGGCAAGAGAAGGAGACTGCCCGTTGGAAGGAATTCAGCAACCATATAGTTTAGCAAGGCCGATGACATTTTCTTCATCGTCCTTCTTTGCAGCGTTCCTATTCCGGGACAGGTAATACTTGTATACAAAGGAGCACAAGATATAGAGCACATAAATAAGGCATGCTAGTTTGGGGTGGCACTCCAGCCAAGAACAAATTTCGCGTCGTGCTATTGTTTGAAGGTAGTAGAAGAGGCATATTATGAACGGGAGAATATCGACAACATCCTCTTTACTTTTGTCTAAGTCATTTTGCGGTATGCCAATTTTGCTTTTGATATGTTGCATGAGGTAAATGTAGCAGTTGCGGAGAATATACAGAAAACTTGGGTGTTTTCTGGTTCCTAAGCGGGAAAAGAGTGCGATCGGCTGGAGGGGATGCAGCGGCCCTTTTTATGCTTCTCGAGTAACATGTGCCTATATATAGGACCTAATAGCATCGAGGTAGATTCACCACTTGTCAACAATGAGCGAGTCTATAAATAAGAATGAATGAAGTTCTTTGCAGAGGAGAAGGGTAAAGCCGGCCTAAATTCCGTTTTATGTCATTCATGTCAACTCTGCCGCTATTAATAGGAGACTACTTATGTCATCGAATTGCTTGCGTATGGGATATGATTCAATGGCATAAAAAGAATATTAACAGATCGGATTTTTTTCTTCTAAATTTCTAACTGATGCTGCTGTGGAGATTGTATTTTGCAACGTTTGTAAATGGCTGCAGGTTAGCCGCTGACAATGGACCCTTAATCACCATGGCGTCTCTAGTGGCATGATGCGGGAAGTTCAGTGACAACTAGAGTTGAAGAAATGAACGACTACAGTAAGGGCCGAAATGACTGTCAGCTTTTTTCAATGTATAGCTTCTCTCCGCACGGACCACTTTTGTGAAACTGTGGCTAGTACAGTGCGAGCTTCCTCTGATCGTTATGTACTGTTGTGGGGGCAGTCATAATAGTTTCGTTCGCTTTGGGATAGAAGTGCCGTTTCCTGAGGACTTCACTACCCGGCACGCCGTACATATATATGTATATATGTATATATATTTCCAACCGCCCAAATGATTATGCTAATAATCGCATTGGTACCAATTATTCTGACAGGTACCAGCTATTATATAGGATCAACTGTGTTGGAACGTAACAGAAACAATGTAGTTCTTATCTTAACTGGCTCATATCTATAAAAAACCGCATTACTAATACCCAACCTGATTTATACCCAATGGTAGCTGTGGCTCTAAATATAGCTGATACATTCGATCGATACTCTGGAAGTAACCTAACAAGAATTTTATTATGTTTTGTGATTCAGGTGTTGTCAGAGCTTATGCCATAGCTATGAAAGTCTGTATTTTGTGATACTGTAACGCTTAAGAAACATGAACGTTCTGAACCAAGTAGCTCTGTTGAGAAGTTGTGTAATAATATATTACTAGCATTGAACCAATATGTTATATATTGAGCACTGTAGTGATAATATAGTCAACTGCATTGCTTTATCTCTTCAAATCTATTTCGTCATAGATTGTGCGTCGACCTTGTTTGCTATAGACGGTATATATTGAAGATTGCTTGCGTTCCTCTAATTCTGAATTATTCTAAGTCTGGTGTGATTGCTATTTCTAGGACATTCCTTCTTCCAGTACATGTGTGATTGAAACTCTAGAACTTCTCCAGTATACAACATAATCTTACGACCGTATTTCCCTTTTGTGGCCGCTGTAATAACTTTGAATAAGCCACTCCGAGATTCTTTAATTATGGTGGGAGCTTCACTGATGCCAAATAGCTGCGCAGCTGCATTACTGGTATCAGTCTAGATAAACTTGGGTTCCAAGACAAAAGCAGTGAGCCAGTCGTCTTCTGCATTGATTCTAACGCCGTACCGATTTGCTATGGACTTAGATATACCATATAACAGATTTATAAACTCCTTATTGGGTGTTTTCTAGAAGTAAGATAGTAATTGGAGATAACTAGTTTAGGAAATGCAACCCCCCTTAAATTATAGATGATATAAATAATTAAAAAATATATCTAGTAAGTAGTTGTAAGCTATTTTGCCGTGATGTTGTTCTTATTAAGGATTTACAAAAGCGGATGCGATGGAAAAATGTATCTATCAGCAAGACTAGCGCCAATTCACATGTTTTAGCTAAAGTCCGTAACAGCCGAAATCTATAACCTAATGCGCAATAGAAAGCCATGACATCAACTTCAAAAGGAGATACCTATACTACTTTCTCATTCGAGTGATTAATCGGGAGTAAAACTAAGGAGCTTCTACTCTGTTCCGAGTATCCACCCAAGGCTGCCTCGGGTAGGATCCACTCAGATCTGCTCCCAACACTGGTTAGGGTGGTGATTTAGACACCCGACTGCTTTCAATGTTCTTTGCTTAGCCTGCTGCACATAAGTAGGCGATAGCGCTAAATATTCAAGACCCGCCCCGGCACCGAGGCTGGATCCACATGCCGTCGGCGTCACCAATACGTTAGTTATGAAGACAGTTGGTATAATTTCCTAAGACAAAAGCTATCTAACGTACCACTACGGAGTACATATTAGTTATCAAAAGTAAGTAATTAACATCAATCAAGCTTTCCAGTCGCCAATACTCAAGACTGCTGCTCAATTCATCTCTTATTTTTTCTTATTTTTTTCTTTTATTATTGCCTCGGTAGGAATGTGCGACCTCAGTTACCCTCCTGCCGAGGGCAGTTGGGTTCACTATCCTCGGCGGCTCTCGACTGCCGAATTGTAGCACCTGCCGATGTTGATATGCGTGGTCCCATCTTGGAGCAAGGATGATGGCCTCGAATCTCATGGCTAGTTCAAAATAACGTTATTCACATGACTCTCCGAATTACTGTGCTGCAACTTACTACTCTTACACTCTATAATTTCCCGGTCAGTCCGGAGCGGTTTTATTAGCGCATGAGCTGTTCTATGGAAGTGGTGTATCGGTACGGCAACAATATTAGTGGAGATCGTAATATATTGGGGGACGTATTTTGACCCGCATCAAGTGTTGTTTGATATGGTGTTATTAGAAGCGGCGTTGGTACGTACATCTCTGATGTATAAAAGCCCAGTGTTCTCACGTTCTGGGAAGTAATAAGAATCAAGAGCTTACTCTGAACCTGTTTTCCAATATTTCACCTGCTTCAAGCAATATAAGCTGTATCCAGAGAAATGGCGACCAACAACATCCTCAAGAACGTCTATGGCCCAGGCACTTTTACCGACGCCTTTTTCACTCCTCTACCCGCTGAATGCCATCGTTTGCTAAAGTTCTTCGCGAGAGTTACGCCTGGCTTCACCAACAACGCTTCACTTTTAGACAGCGTTGAGTTCCATGGTGGAGACCTTCCCATTATACCGGGTCCGCTCAAATCTCAAGCCCTGGTAAGTTCTTTAACTGCACATCGCGTAATTGGTTGCTAAGAGATATCACAGTCAGCTGTCTGCCAGGCCATGATCGGCATCGTTGGGAAAGAAATCTGTCTCTTGAAGGACTTCGAGGCTGGAAATGTCATTATCGACGTTGATAAGTCGGGGCTCTACCCGGCTACACCAGGGCTTGTGTTCATTGATGGTAAGAATCTAAAAGAAATCCAGCAGCAAGGTATACTATTGAAAGCTGGAGCGGATTTGGACAAGGGCATCTTTCATAAGAACGCAATGCATTATCGTTCTTGGTCTCTATATCCAACACGTGATCCCCACGTCTGGTATCAGATTCTGAGCAGCTTAAATCCACCTGCATTCCTTAGGGCGTACGGGCTGGACCCAGATGCAGCAGTCTCTTCTAACAATGAGGCTTACGAACTCATCAAATCAGAGATGGTGAAATACTCGGCTGCTGAACTTGATCAAAAAAACATGGAGTATGGTTTCTGTGGACAGACATGCTACACACCGGAACAGTGGAAGAACACGACCATGGGCAAGAGTCTTGCTGCGCATCCCATGATTAACTATCGACAAGTGGTTTCAACATCAGACTTGCCACCAGTTCCATTTCCAAAGTCAGAGGACAAACGTCCTTTAGCCGGAATCAAGGTCATAGAGCTTTCCAGAGTCATTGCCGGGCCAGCATTAGGAACAGCTTTAGCTTCTCTCGGTGCAGATGTGATTAAGGTCCAAAGTCCAAATCTGCCAGACTTACAGGTCAGAAAATATCCCATTTCAGAACATCCATGAAATATTACTAACGATTTGACTCCTTTATAACAGGCTTTAAGTGTAACTCTAACTGCTGGAAAGCGTAATCTTGCTCTTGACATCTCGGTTGAAGAAGATAAGAAGAAGTTACAAGATCTTATACAGGATGCCGACGTTATTATCCAAGCTTTTCGCCTGCGTTCTTTGGAACGTAAGGGATTTGGCCTGAATGAAGTCCTTCAGATGGCCAACAAACGTGGTAAGGGAGTTGTTTATCTTGACTTAAACTGCTACGGCCCGGATGGCTACTATTCTGAGCGACCTGGCTTCCAACATATCGCCGATGCTGCATCCGGCTGTTCTTATGTCTGCGGAAAAGCTTATGGATTTGAAGAGGGAGTTAGTGTACTCCCCCCTCTACCTGTCGCCGACATGCTTTGCGGTGCTGTTGGAGTTATCGACATACTGTTAGCACTCCGTGACCGCGCAAAGCATGGAGGGTCTTACCATGCTACCGTTGCGCTTACGGCTATAGATACAGCACAGTTGGACGAAGAGGTTGGGCTATATCATCCAGAGATTGTCAATAAGATCCAAGAAAAATACCAGTTTCAACCCATGACGCCTGAGCTCCATGTGGAAGAGTTGCTGCTCATCTTAATGGCCTCTTGGAAGCAACATTCGGATATATTGAGAAGAGATGGATATATGGTAACCTTTTCAGAGACACCATGGGGAAATACCCATACTATTCTCTCTCCTATTATTCAATATGAGAATAGTTCTGCGAATCCACGCTGGACGCATGGTCCAGTCCCTTATTGCGCTAGTACTGATGTTAAGTGGAAATAAAGCAAAGAGAAATATACTTATAATATACATTTGCAAAGACTATAACAAGATCTCTTCATTTCCCCAGCTCCCATAGTAAGATAGCGAATACCAATAGCTGCATGGCTGTCCGATGACACTTGGCAAATCATGCAAGCGATTATCCGAATACGCTGGATGTGCGTTGTGTTCGTTGGCTAGTCAAAAGTACAATTTGGTTCAATTTCACTTCTGGTTCTAGATTTGCTTATGTAATTATAGAATAAGTTATGCAATATGATACCCATGCCCTGAGGAAAAGATCACGATTCAACTTCTGGCCAACAGAACCCAGAATCTATTGCTGGATAAGGTTAGGTCCAGATTAATAGTGTACATAGCATTTCGACGTTTACACTGTACAAGCCACACTACGCCACATAAATGATCCGTGCGGAATGACTTTCATTATAATGAAAACCGGACACTTATTTCGGTTTCTACTATAGTAATAAGCTTGTTAAGCTTATTCATCTCCCTTGGAAGTACAATGGAAATGTGGACACAATAAAGTGCTACTACATGCATGTTGACAGACGTGTGGAATGCGATTTTATAATATTCTTGTTAGCGCATGGCCTGTGTTTTATTTAGAACTTCACAATGATGAAACAGTCCTAAAGTATCATGAATAATAACAGAATGGCTTTCTAAAAACGATAGCGTCATCCGTGACAGTATCCTTCGTCATCAAGAGTAAAAAAGCCAGCGGCTTCTGGCAGCTGTAACGGTGGAGAGATGGAAGAACCCGTACATGGCCCGTGTAAGTTTTGACTCGAGACGCCGTTCTGGAGACGGTGGCGCGGCAACCCCGGCAGTGAGAGTGAATCAAGCCAATCGGTCATGCCATGTTCCGGGTTTTCTTTCAAAATCTGCTTCTATTTCGGGTTTCTAGAAAAAGAAAAAGAACCAGGAATGTTCGGGACGCAGCACTTGCATATCATGCCTGTTTGCTTGTGTGTTACTGGTGGTGTCATGATGGGGGGATTGCGGAGAGGTCTAGAACCACAAGGGTCTTCGAGAAGGAAGAGGCTAAATGCTACTAGGCATCTGAATAATATGACTAGCAAAGGAATTAGACTGAGAATAAAATGATTGCATAAAGGTAGGGTGGCAGCAACCAAGAGGATGTAACGCAGACGGGTGTTTGCACCTACACCACAGTAGTCGCCGATTTGCGAACCCAAGTATTGAGAGAAAGAGTTTCAATGTAAAAATAGAACCAGCATGACACGATGTGTAAATACTTGGCCAACGCGTTATCTGATATACGTGTATTCAATCGCATTCCCAGATACTCGTCATCATCGGCGTGTCGCTCAGCCGCAAGGCATCTCGTATCCGGCTCTCCCAATCGCAAAATCTTACCATTCAGTAATTACATGTACACATTGTTTGCTGGCCGTCTCTTCAGATAACGCAGGACTTGGCAATCTGCGCCACATCGCTTCAATTATTCTGGCTTACTATTCATCTGGTAATTTGTTGAAAGACAAGGCCGTAATCCAACCTGAGCCAATGGCAGGCCCGCAAAGAATTGCCGTGCGCACCCAGCAGACAAGGAATCGCACATACAAGGGTGGTTTAATATAAAGCAGGCCTGCTCTATTCTTCCCATTTTCCCGATCTGCACGCAGGAAGGATGAAACAGCTCCTGAAACAAGCAGCATGAATTGGCCATGCCTGATGCGGGATGGTCTGTGCACACCATGGATTAAGCATGTCAGATGAGACGCCGTGATTTGATTCCCTCTTCACCTTGTCGTCTCGCCTGGCACGGCTGTATTGCCGAGAACTGCTAATACCACTGCTAGGGCTGGGACTGGGGCTGGGACTGGAACCGGGCTCGGCAGTGGGATGAACGGCTTTGGAGATGGACATGGAGATGGCGGTGAAGACAGACCGGACGAGACTGAGACGGGCACTGAGACGCGAGTACGAAGTTCGGATGTCGGCTCTTGGAGGCTGTTCTGTCATTGATTCTGTAGCAAAGACAAGGTAGCTAAACGAAAGAGACAGCACTGCCTGCTCAGAGAATGACCAGGCCTTCGGCATCCTGCTGCGTGGCCATCAGCTTACCCTTCTAGAAAGGAAGCATCGCCGTGCACTGCTCACGATGCCCTCATCCCGACTCGTCCACGTCAGCCACACTGCCATGTGTCGTCGTGTAAAGCTCCGAGCCAAGGACTGGGGGGTGCCCTCTCTTCACCGTCTTCTTTGCGAGATAGGGCTGGTCGGCAATTGAAACCTTTTACGATTTTTCCTTTCGTCTAGCCGACCTGAACACGCCTTACAGTAATTGGACACCAACGAATCATCTAGACAATGCGCATAAAGGTCGGCCCAACCCGACGCCCGGCACACTTGATATTGGCAATGCTTCTCGTCCTGCCCTATGAATAGAAAGTGATGTGTAGAATATTAACAGAGCTCGCCATTGCGGGGAGAGGGCCAGGCGCTTCCAAACGGCGCATCCAATCAGCCGCACCTGGGCTGCATGAATCGAGCGGAGAATTGTCATCTCCCTGGGTGCAATGATGGTGGAGCAGGCTTGTCACAGATCCGGCCTGTCACCACGTGTGTGACTCTGTGGGCGTTGACAAGAGCCGCTGTCGCCTGGGCAAAATGACATATTACTCGTGTGGTCGTGAACTCGAGCTGAGGCGTGTCAAGCAAGGGCTCAGCCATCAGTCGCTCGGTTTTGCTAGCGTCGGTGGTCCGAGGCAGAGGAACCACACAGGCCCATCACCCCAGCTTTTGCTGTCTTTGTGTCCTTGTTTGGGGCCTGGCCCGAAATGGAATTGAAGAGACGAAATTGAAAAGCTGAGCAGTCAGTTCTGGGGTCCGCAGCAGGACCATTGGATTCATTGCTGTCCATGCAGCCGTCCTGTCCTGCTTTGCTGGCGCCACTTACACTCGCCCACTGGCATGACCGCATTACGGCCCAAAGCAAAGAACAAGGCCACGACCCCTGGGCTCAAATTATGGGCGTTTGGACCGGGCTTCAGCCTCGTCGACGTCGTATCGACGTTTCCACGCGTAGCATAGCATTGTCTGTGACTTGTTAGCGAGGTAGGAATATGAGTCTTGTGCTAGTACGAATACTGCTGGTGCAGGTAGCGACGTAGCATCAGGCAATGCGGCTGGATAGTAGTCAGTGCTTCATGGATATTAACTGCCTTCAGCTGATCAGCAGAGATTGGCATCAGCTCCAGAGCGAAAGTCGCTGCGTTGCGTCAGCAGCGGTGATCGGATCTGATCTGATGCTGCAGAAACCACGTCCACTGTAACCAGCAAAGCCACAATATAACGTGAAGCCGGCCCATTGTATCTCGACGACGTACCTCATCTTGCGCCACAGCCCCGCGCGCCGCTTTGGGGCCTGTCCATCTTTTACCCACCATCTCCAGCTCCCGCCAATCACGAGCTCGCATCGTCTCCAGCCCGTCATCTTTTTTCGTCGCTCTTGAAACTACCGCCTGTCCTCAAGCCTCCCCCTGGCCGTTGACATGCTCTGATCTGCCTGCTGAAACGGCTTGACGCATCAAAAAAGGGGGGCGTGCGACTTCTCCAGGGGCCCCCGTTTGCCATCCCGCCAACTCTCTCTCGCTCTCGCCGACGATTTTGCCCTCTTCAGTCTCTCGATCCGAGCGTCCCTCGTCCCTGGTGCCAATCGCGCGCGAAACCCACCGCAGCCCAATACAGAATTCAACAGAGCAGAGGCTTCACCAGCTCAATTGTCTCACACCCTTGCTGCCCAGCTCCGCTTCTTCTAGAAACGCGCTGCCCGAAGCCAGTCGACGGCATAAACGACAGCCCACACGCCCCCTCCTCACACATCTTGGGCTCTCTTGACAAAACATCTCTTCCTGCACACCTCGCATTGTCTGCTAGCTGGAGCTTGCAACTACAACGACACCTCAACACCGCTTTTCTGTCCATCTATATAACTACCCAACGCCTCCCGCTCGTGAGACGAGCCCCTTCTAGCCCATCATGACCACTGAAGCCCAAGACGAATTCGACAAGCTTGTCGCCAATAACGCCCATCGTGAAACTGTCCACCCTGAAGATCGTGACGACGCCGACTCCGAGCACGGATCTGATCTCTCTGAAGAAGAACAATACCGCAACGCCAGGATCGAAGAGGCAATGAGAATGCCTACCGCCGCTACCGAGTTCAAGCTGCCGCCCGTGTCTTTTGACACCGGCCGCTCTACCGGTGTCAAGGGCGTCATTGCCGACGCCAGAAGCTATGAATCTGCCCGCAAGACAAAGTGGAGGGCTCGCGCGCAGTCCGTTCGCAAGAGCGTCTTTGGCTCCCCACGCAGCAACAAGAGCGAGAGCGAGAGCGAAGAGGCCATATTCAGCGGCGGTGATGACGAGGACGAAGAGGAGTTCCTGAGCCTGTGGCGGGAAGCGCGGAGGCAAGAGCTTGAGAACGAGTCCGGACAATCCGTCCGGGCCAGACGGACAAGCCCCAGCACCCGCATCTACGGCCGCATGGACGAGGTGGATGCCCTCGGCTATCTGGACGCCATCGAGAAGGTGAACAGAGATACTACTGTTGTTGTCTTTGTCTATGATCACGAGGTAAGAGCTCATTCTACTCGACTGTGTACGCGAACCGCATTCTAATACTACTTGTCCAGAGCGAAGTTTCATCAGCAATCGAATCAGTGCTGATGCCCTTGGTCAAGGCAAACCCGTCGGTTCATTTCGTCAAGGTCCACTACGAAGACATTGAATTCGACAATGCTGCCGTGCCTGCCATCCTGGCCTACCGAAACCAGGGCGACCTCTTTGCCAACCTCACTGGCATTATTGAGATGATGCCAGATGACGAACACTTTGGCCCCGAGTCCCTGCAAAAGGTGCTCAAGAAGCACGGCGTGCTGTCATGAAACAGCTGCACTAAAAAATAACTTGCTCTCTCTATAAATCATTTACACCTCGCTTCCACTCCTTCCTCTGTACATCTTATTAAACAGATGGCCTTGCTTTGGGCTTAACAAACCAGATGCATTTACAATTGGACAGCATCATTTGGAAACTTCCTTGGAAACCCATTTGGAACAACCTTTGGAAAACCCTTGGAAAACCACCATCTGTCATCTCAGCCTCTCAGGAACCAGCAGCCGCCGCTGCCGGCAACAACATCCGTGCGACAACATTTTTTGTGAAGATACCCCACTTCCTTGAATTCTCTCTTCTTGGCTACCGGGATTACGGACTCGAGGTGGGATTTTTTCCCTTGAGCCCTGGTGTTTTTCCCGGCCTGGGCTTGTTTGACTCGACCCTCGCCCAACCCATGACCTAATCCCTGTACCTGGAGCGCCTGCTGCCTGGTCTACATTTTCGGCTTTATTTTTGCCTTCTTTTTGTCATTCATACGGAGTTTGTGGAGATACGGGGAAGGGGATACACAAAAGTATTACTACTACTACTACTACTACTACTACTAGATGGGAAGCGACACACGTATAATGTCGGAATGTCGGAACGGTTTTCTCTTTTCAACGTTCGTTTTTTTTTTTTAAAGTTTATTATGTTTAGGATACATGACCGGATGGTGTTTTTTATGACAGATTTTTATTTGTGAACAGGCAGCTAGGTGCCTAGGGCTGGGTGTGTATAAATGCCGAGCAATATCGGCTCCAACATGAAACATATTCCACATGATTTTCTTCTCCTTTTGGTGAATGTTGTGAATTGACGTTGCATCTTGGTTAAATTGTCTGTGATGCCATCATTATGCGTTGCGACCCAGCCTTTTGTATCGTTATGCCGACTTTTGCTGCGAAAAGTCGAAATCCACCTCCTTGCAGCCACATTTTTATAGACGCACATACTCACGATCTCAACAGTTTGAAATAAATATACGGCCAGTATTCGATAACGAGTTTTTAGTGATTGCCCATCTATATTTTCCAAGCCTGCCCGTCAGTATGCCTATAGAGAAGCAGACAGAGGTTCATATTCGCGATGTAGCTGCACCTGGTGCTAGATGATAAGATTTTTCCATTTTCAGCCAATCTGAACTTTAATTTCCGCATATCTGCTCAATAAAAGAGGATGAGGTTTTTGTCTTGATCCCTCTGAAAGTTTCCATCCACCGATTCGCTCTCACCTAACTACCACACACGCCAAATGAGACACAATGCTTAAAGACATGGATAAATACTGCTTCCTTGGCTGTTTGATTGAGATTGGTGGACGTGGACCAGTCGTTTGGCAGGTAATGGACTGGGATCGACGCCGGATGATTTCACTCGTCACAGATGCAGAGTATCAAGAAGATCCAGTCCAAGTTATTGCGCATTTCAAAAGGCATATCAAAACTCTCCCGCTCGACACCTACAAGATTCACATGTCTGAGAGAGGTGACCTACTTCGAGTTTCCACGGATCCAAAAGACGACCCATGGATCATTATCTGGCGGTTCGAGATGGAAGATCTCCAGCTTGAGAAGCTTCTGAGTGGTGTGGAAACTGTAATCCGAATTGAGCTGTGTGAAATATCTCGCCTAGCTTGGGGTATTGACCTTGTTTCATACGGCACTGGAGAAGAAGAAAAGAGAGTCGATTTCAAGTACGCGCTCATACCGCAGGATTCTCATCGGTTTTGGACAGAACTAAATGTTTGGATGCGGCTTTCCCACCATCCAAACATTGTTCCTATTGATAGAATCGTATTGGACGAGATACGCGGCCAGATTGTTGGCTTTACAACGCCCTACATACCCGGTGGCTCGCTGGAAGATACTCCTTCACAAGGGGTCAAGCTCAAGTGGCTCAAGCAGCTCATTCAACTCGTGGACGCTTTGAACCTCAGATATGGAGTCATTCATGACAATATTATTCCCCGACATCTTCCAGTCGATCCAGAGACGGATGATTTGCTGCTGATCAACTTCAATTTCTCTCGCCGCATAGCTGGTCCTGTTCGTCTTTTCATCTTCGACATCTCAGGGCAGGAAATGGCACGGGTCATATTAACAGTCTACATCATAATAACCGGTGAAAAGCGCTTCCAATATACTCATGATACGAAGAAAATCTCAAATGCCGCTGCTGTTATGGAGCTTGAGGAGTGGACGCCAGCTCCGGGCATGATACTCGATCACCCAGTATCGGCTTATCGGTCACTTCTTGAGGAGTGGACGAGGCAAAGGCGAGCTGTTCATGTTCAAGCTCGCGAATGCATCGATTGGCCAGAGTTTCCGTATAAACAGACGGTTTGGGAAAGGGACGAACGGGGGGCTTCTTATGCGGTGGGCGGTGCGTATGATTGCTCGCGAGCTGGGGAGCGAGAGGCGGGGAGAGCGGTGATTGAATGGGAACGGCCGCCGGAAGATGCGCTGCGAGATGAAGCTATGGTGGTTGATGATGATGAGTATGTGTATGTGTAAAGGCATTGAATCAACATACATGCCTAGCATTGAAACACTGCTAGGTTAAAATCTACTTTAGCTAGGGAATCTATTTCTATCAGGGAGATCTACTGCTATCAAAGCAATTTACTCTTATCAAGAAGATCTGCTTCTATCAGTGCCACATACTTCTATTCAAGCAATCTCTCTATTAGGGTAGTCTAGTTATATCTATCTGGCCAACCTGGTCCGGTCTAGGCATCTACCGCCATCAAGGCCCTCTACAAGGTTTCCACCACCTTGCGTCTAATTCTGGATATGCTCTTTCACGGGATCCCCAGAAGGACCCGCCAGGAAGCTCGGGAGGGCGGGAATGGGAGGATCCACTCGGATACGGAGGAAGACGATATTAAGAAGAGAGTGTCAGCGTTATAGCTGCTGCTGTTGTCACTTAAAACATGTTTACTATATATGTAGATGTGTATTAAATCGACCCTGGAGATTTAACACTTTTTGATGCAATACCGCCCGTCACATGTGATGAGACTTTCATAAAGCCGTACCTGTACTAGCCCCATTGTCCGAGTATTCCACTCAAGCCTCTATCTAGATTTGGATTTGAGGCAAAGCCTGGCTGACGTAGAGTTCCGCAAGAAGATGGAATTTACTATCCGTCTTCGGAGAGCATAAAGCCTCGCTTTTTAGAACCTTCTTCTGCATGGCTCTTCACAGAGGTGGCCACTCCTACTGGTCGAGAGAACCCCCTCGAATTGGCTGCATAATCTTCACGTGAGATCCTGCTTCGCTTCTATTTGATCTTCTGCATCCTATCAAACCGTTCGAGTCTCGAAAGATCAGCTTCCCCACCCCGAGCCGCGCCATCTTTGCCATCTCCCCTCCGTCTTTTCCACGGCGGCAGTCAAGAAATAATACCTCAGATCGGGGTCACGCGCAGTTGCCGTCCAAAGTCTCAGCTTCACATAGCGTCCGTGCTGGGTACCTCTAGCTGATACCCCACTGCACCGTCCCGCCTTCAGCGGCTAACCTGCATGCCCTACAGGCACTCGACAGCTAGACTTCCAGCGGTCCATCCGCCATCAGGCAGCCTCGGGTGCCCGCAGGCAGCAACTCAGCCTCAAAAGAAAGCAGCGCCGAACCCTTGTATGTCACTGGCACCATCGAGCTTCACCCGGCCGATTCTTGCTGCGACCAGGGCTGGATGATTCTCGTCTGCGGTTTATAAACTCGTCTTTGATTCTATTTTGCCTCTTTCTCCTCTTCTACTCTGTTTCGTCTGGACTGTGGTTAGTTGTTTCGTCTTGCAGGCTGCTGTTGGCTCTGACCTCACTCCCGTATCATCCTCCATCCATCAAACCCTCCGAGCCAAAAGCCCCTCCCCGCCGCGTTTCTTCCCCTCCTTCATATTCACATCTGCCCTCACGTCTGCGTTCACGTCCACCCCGCTGCCACTGCAGCAAAGAATCACATCCCTACCGCCGATTTGGTTTCATGGGCCTGCCGCCGAGTCGTCACTTTGGTGCGTGAGATGGTCCTTGGACTGACCGCAGTCACCTCGTGATGGAACAGCCTGATACGTCGCCATCCCCGCCACCGCAGCTTCGACGTCGCGATACTGTGCTTCCTCGACTTAAGAGGTCATCAGCTTCGTATCCAGCGCCGCCTTCGATCCTTTCGCCACCCCTGACAACCGCCTCGCCCACAGCCGGCGCGAGCATCTCTTCCTCAGAGCCTACTCTCCGATTCCCTAGACCGCAGGGCAACAAGCAGCTTGCAAATTGGATATCGAGCAGCAACCCCGACATCATGGATCTGGCTCCGCTCGCCGAGGACAACAGCTTGTCTGAGTCCACCTACGAGCTCATCTCGGGCCCGAGCACCGACACCGACACCGAAGAGTCTCAAGACGATAACTACACCGGGTCCATGAGTGAATCCATCGGCTCGCTCGACATTCATCGCCCAGACGATGTCCAAAGCTTGGCGGGCACAGAAGACTCGTACGAGACCGAATCAGCGGTTGATGAAGCAGACATGCCCAGCACAGCAGCGTCTGACCGTGATGATACCGAGGACGAAGAGGATGACGAAGACTCTGTCCACGAAGACAGCGTGCTGGCCGAGTCGCACTTCACCGATGAGACTGCCAAGCTTGAGCCTTTCCCGCCCTTTGAACATGAGGATTACTCTCACTCATCGCTCGAATACACGCAGCAGAGCTTGGGGACTCCTTCTTTCCCGACTCCAGAGGCCAGTCGGGTGATTGAGAGACCAGGCCCAGCTGAGCCTGAGAAGAAGAAGTCTTGGAAACAGAGAATGTCCGACTTTTGGCCATTCGAATCCGAAACTAGGGAATATTTTGCGGAGGCAACGTGGGGAGGATTTCCCGGCTTCGCATTCATCTTTGTTGTGCTCTTGGCGCTTCCCATCTTCATCCAATCGCCATCCGAACCAGATCTACCAAATGTCCAAGCGCCACCGCCCATCACTGCAACCATTACCACCACAACATATCTCACCACTTCATCTTTATCAACTTCCAGTAGTCAACCGACTCCATCTTCCACCAACAGCGTGGCTTTGGTGCCTATTGGCGAGCCACAGTCTGACGATTGGATATTCGGCGCCAAGAAGCCTGCTGTATCTTTTACGGCCGAAGCGCACAATGATATCTTGATTCACATCCCCAAGAGTATCAAGAAGACGTGGTTGGCCAAGGACTGTCTGTCTGTATCTGCCAAGAGAGGAGATGACATTGTCGATACCACCATGTCCATGGAAGACGAGGGCCTTCGCCTAAAGTTTGCCAAGAAGGAGGTCTACGGTGTTGTCAGCCTCGTGCTCGAAGCCAAGTGCCGTCCCAAGATTCACAAAGTGGTCAAGGTCCACTTTGGTAAGGGGCTGATGGAAGAGGCCTTGGAACGCACCAAACACCTAGCTCATGACCTCTCCGGACTCGTGCCTGCTGCTGCTCAGGAGGCAGAGCGATGCATTGAGAACGCCAAGCAGTCCATCAACTCGGCATGCCAGAACGTCTGCCAGACCGTTACTGAGACTGTATCAAAGACTTTTGGCGCCGCCTTTGCAGATGCCAAGCAGAATCTCGACAACCTTGTATCGACAGCCAAGGCCCAGTTTGAAGAAGCCGCCGAGGAGTTTACCACTAGATTTGATGACTTTGCACAACAAGCTCTCGAAAACCTGCCCTCGGTTGAAAATGTACAAAATCAGCTGCACCTCCAGCTGATTGACGCGCAGCTCTCAGCTAGGCTCTGGTGGCTGCAGGTCTTTGGCAGCGCAGAGGAGCATGATGAGTACTTGCGCAAGGCAACGGCTTTTTCGGCAAAGAAGCACGCAGCTGCCGAAGAGATGAGGAACGCAAGAAGGGACGTTCCTAAAAAGCCAATAGAAGCAGCTTCACGGCTCTGGTCCGAATGGTCCAAGTTGAAGCGCAAATTAGCGTGAAGACTCCTTGCAAGAACGCAGCATGAGAGGGGGAAATATATCCTTTGTTTTATGCCAGTATCTTTCTTGGCTTCTGTTTTTATCACCTCCCTTCTTTCTTTGTTGTTCTTTTTTCTTCTGAGTTATGGCAATCCGCAAGGATATGGTTTGGTATGTATTTAATGAAAACGCTTTTTTTTTGAAATGAGGCAGGAAATAGGTATGGATTGGAGGAAACGGCAATGGGATGGAGTTTATAGGCTTTTCCTTTTGTTTGTTGTTGCTGTTTTATTTGTTGCTCGTTGACTTGGCCATTACTACTTACTACTTTACTCGATGAGGTTGAAGGGAGATTGTGGCTATTACTATTATATGTGTGATGTGTATGGCAAATGCAAATATACATGCTGCTTTATTTGCCTGGGCGTTTGGTCCTTGTTTAATGGTAATGTTGGTGATTGTGATGTGTATGGTACATAAATATATACTGATTTATTTGCCTGAGTATTTGTTGAGTGTCTGTTGCTGCTTTATGATGCTTGTGAATGTTACTGCTGCTTTATTTGTCTAAGCGTACGTCGAATGTCCAATGTTGCTTTATAGTGATTTTGCGACTTTGATATATCGGTGCTACTTATATATTTCTGGAATATCAGAGAGTCTGGCCTTTCATCTCTGAGTCCATAAATCTGGTACCGAGTACATAGAGTTAACACCAACAGAGCGTGAGCTCCTATTGTGATGAACGTCTTGCTCGCGCCATACTAGGGTCACTTGATCAATCTAAGCCATCTCCCGTGGTTTCCCACGTTACTCGCTCAGGGCCATTAAATAACTCAGAGAAGCACGTGCCGTTCAGCTATTCACGAAAAGCACATGGGTATATCTGATATCTCTGCTACAGATATTAGATATTTCTGTAGTCGAGGCTGTAACAGGCAGAGATGGACTAATATGGAGTAGCAGTCTACGGATAGGCACCTATGAGTTGCATGCAAGTGCATAAAAAGGGGCCCTACAGCTATTAGCCGCCCAGATCTTCACAGCACGTCAAACACAAGTATCCCACCAGCAGAAAATACGTGCAACGCTACAAGAACCCAATAGAAGCACAAGAAAAAAATCAACAGGGCCCCCGCCACCACCCACTGGAGGGGCAGCGCCAAAAAAAGCAAACTCCCACTCCCACTTCCCAGCCCAAACACAGCCCCTCCTTTTGTCGCCAAACCAAAACCAACCACCACTCGCCCTTTTTTAACCATAAACTCCGTCCCGCTAGGCAGACCCGAGGGAAAGAAGAAAAAAAGTACGCCTCTCTTTTTTGTTGTACTCTAGAAACCAGCGATTTTCCTACTTTCGGTGAGTCCGTCGACGAAGGTTGCGCGCAAGAGGTTTTGTGGAGAAAGAAGTTGCATTCTGTTTTTGTTCTCCCTCTTTTTTTTTTGCCCCGCCGCCAGCTCTTCTTCTCCAACAATAAAAAACCCGTCGCGTTATTCGTTTTTACTTCTTTTGCTACAACTGCAGGCGACTAACCTTTGCTTCTTGCTTCTTTCGACTAGATTTTTCGATACACACACATTCAAAATGTCTTCCGCCGATGCCACTGAGCCCAAGGTCGAGCAGACCAACACTGAGGTGCGACGACTTTCCCCGCGGTTCACTCCATGTTTGATCGATCGGTCGGTTTTTTGCGCGACATGTTCGCCGTCTGACGATATATTGATGCTGGAGGGGGAACCCCACTGCGTTTGCTCATCTTGTATATACTGACCCGCCGGCTTTATTTAGGCCCCTGGTGCCTCCGTGACCGCTTCCTCTGTATTCTCCATGTTCGGCGGTGGTGAGAAGAAGGAGAAGAAGGAGGATGAGGACCGTGGCGACAACTCTGGAAGCGCAAAGGCTCAGCGCGATGCCAAGGGCGATGAGGTAAGCACCATTATATGGGAGAGATGGAGAAACAAATACTCTCGATGCTACATGGCATAAGAGCAGGGCAAAGGGGAGACGACGCTAACGAGGATACTGTTACAGGAGGAGGCCCCCCAGAGCGAAGACGTTCACTTCGAGCCCGTCGTCAAGCTGACCGAGAAGGTCGAAGTCAAGACCAACGAGGAGTCTGAGGAGCAGCTCTTCAAGATGCGCGCCAAGCTGTTCAAGTTCGTCAAGGCCGTCAAGAAGGATGGCGAGGATGCCCCCGCCTCCTCTGGCGAGTGGAAGGAGCGAGGAACCGGCGACGTCAGACTGCTTAAACACAAGGAGAACGACAAGGTCCGCCTGGTTATGCGACGAGAGAAGACGCTCAAGGTCTGCGCCAACCACTACAGTATGTTTTTTCCCCACATGTTTTCCTAACCCTTGTTCGTAGCTTTACTGACACATGTTTGCGCGCAGTTGTCCCCGAAATCACCCTGTCCCCCAACGTTGGCTCTGACCGCAGCTGGGTGTGGAACGCTGCCGCTGATGTCAGCGAGGGCGAGCCCGAGGCTGTTACCCTTGCTATTCGATTCGCCAACTCTGACAGTACGTGAAGACCTTTGGACTCTGTCGCCTTGCACAATCACTAACATGAGCTTTCTTTCCGCAGATGCCAACCAGTTCAAGGAGTCCTTCCTGAAGGCCCAGAAGGACAGCGAGCACCTCTTCAAGGCCGCTGCTGAGGAGGAGACCAAGGAGGAGGAGAAGACTGCTTAAGTTGAAGTTTTCTCGACCGACTTGTATAACCCGAAACAAGTGCTTGCCGCTTCTCGAACCATAATTTTTCCCCTCCCCCGCGCGTCAGCTGTTGATTAAAGAGAAAAGATGCTCGCACCACGACACCATCCCACGCCCCATCGCCCCATCGCGCCACAACACACAACACACAACACACAACACATACAACACAACACAACGCAATACACTCCGCAATACAGCACATCGATATATAAGAGGCCCCTGTACGAAGCCGATGTAAACAGAGGCAGTCGATCTGAATTCATGAAGACTGGAGGAGGTCCCCCCGGATGAAAGTAAGCACCAAGTGGCGCAAGGCTTGGGGGGATTAGCAGATAATGGCATTTGATAGTAGAGCACCCTGAAGCAAAGAATAAAAAGTTGATACCAAAAGAGGAGCACTATGGTGTAGAGTGATTTGTGTATACTTGAGAAATATAGCGTTATGATTGACAGCTGTTTGGCTGTGAAAAGGATCTATAGGTGCATAGTTGTCCTGCTGTGATGATGACGGCATGAGAAGCCCACAATTTACGTCTACATGTTAAAGGATTTACGCGCCATGCTGCCTAAATAGAAATGATGAAAGCAAAAGCAGCAACAATATCAATACAATGGCCTCCCAGTGTTTATATAGGTACATGTACAATAGAAGCATCCCACGATGCCTGCATTTCCGGCCCAGCTACAAGGTTAGCGCGAAAAGAGGCTTCCATCCGATCTGGCGTCCAATGACGCTATGACGTGGTACCTCGTCGCTGGCCCTGACCGCCTCCAAGGCGCAGCGCACGGGCAAAGTACACAATCATAGCAGCCGAGACGGAGATACGTCGAGCAGGTATTCAGTCAAAGGGGGACAAACGTTTAGCCCCGAATGGCGGCGGATAGCCGGGCCCCTACCGGGCATGAAAGCTTGGGAAAAAAAAAGTTTTTTCTATCTTCTCGTTCTGCCTTTGTCTGTCCTGTCAATCCATCTGTCGAACATATCCATCTAAAAGGAGAGTGGAACCCGATTTTTTTTTCCCGGAGCTGAAGTGGAAGACGGCAGAAGCACAGTGAGAGCTAGCCTCCCGCCGACTCTTACGTGACTGAACCCCCCCAGCCATTTTTTCCTTTACACGGCGCTTTCTCCCTTCACCTGCTCTGCTTATTACGACGGGAAGCGTCTACCTATTGCGCTGCTGCGACAATTTGCTCCAAGATAGCATATCTTCATCATTTGCTGTGTGAACCAATTCGCTGCACAAACCCTCCCTCTTGCTCGAAAACAGCCCTTTTCTACTGGCCCCTTTTCAAATTCCCTCTTCCTTTCGCGTTTCCGGTCTCGGTTGGCCGGTGCTGGCGTCTGCTCTGTTTGTCTTTTTGTCTTGAGCGCCGTGTAGGACCGGACAAGGCCCGCCCAAGCCCAAGCAGCAGCCGCGAGCTTGCTTTTTTCTTGTTCTAAAATTAATTCCCTTTTTCCCTTGTACTATTGAAATCCTTACCTACCTTTTTTTTCTCCCGCTCGGATTTTTGCCACCATTTTTCCAATTCACTGTTTCTCCGTATAGATCGGGGGGTTTTCTTTTATTCTTGGAGGAGAGAAAATTAGGACACATTTTCAATATGTTGGTCGAGGTGAGTTTATTACAACACGCACACGTATTCACTTTTCCTTTCCTGCAATTCAGCTCTATCGTTTTCTCTTTCACGCCCTTGTTCGGACAACGTTTATATAATTCATCGGAGCAACTGGATGTCTTTTTTTTCCTTCTCTCTTATAAAGGGAAAAGGTGTAAATATCCATGCCGGCTGGATGGCAGCTGGCAGACACGCAGAGAGAATGGGCGAATGGACGCTTCTGGGCTGCGGAAAAAAAAGGCAGATGACGGAAGACGGGAGCTGCCAGCTGGATGGGGGGGTTTCGCCAAATGTCTGCCAGCCGGCTGGATTGATTGCCTATTCAATTTGAAAAGATGATGGAAACTTCTTTTCTTGTTGACGCGATGTTGTTTTTCTGCTTCTTCTTCTCTCAACCCTTTCTTCGCCTTTCGCTGTGTGAAGTCACATCAACGCACAAAACGCAAAAAAAAGAGCCTCACAGAAGCGCGTTCTCCGATCCCTGAACGGCACTGCTATTTTCGTCACATTGCTATTCACCATTCCCGCTCTGAATTTCAATTTGCCCATCATTCCTTTTATTGTTGATTCTTTTTTTCCGCGATGGCACCGATTCGCAGGGGAGCGCCGCGCGCTGCGAAGAAATTGGCGATTCATGCGAGGCTTGGGACTGACGATGAGCAGAGGAAAGTCAAGGTCATTACGGACCAACACGTCATGTGAGTATTTTTTTTTTCTGTGCCCGATATCTCGCTTTTTCCACCAACAACCCATCGCATCAAGATACGGCCTCTTTTTTGTTTTATCATTCGAAGGAGAGATGTTATCCGTATATTTGATGGGCTGGATTTTACTCTTGTTTCCTTCTAAACCTTTGCTTCATCTCCATCTTATGGCTCCTTTCTGACCTGATGCTGCAGCGACAAGCCTTCGCCCGTGGAGGAGTTTCCGATGCGGCAATGGAGCTTGCGGCTCGTTCTGCTAGATGAGGATGGCAATGAGCGGCCTGCCGACGTCTTCACCAAGGTTGTCTACAACCTGCATCCTACATTCGAGAATCCCACCCAGAGTGAGTCTCATCTTTCTTTCTATGACCCGGTCCCCAGTTTCGAAACAATTCTGACGCGGTCTATTGTCAGCCTTCACCAAGCCCCCCTTCATCTGCTCCAACGAGGGTTGGGGTGAGTTTGAGATTGGCATCGATCTCTACACCACGGAAAAGACCAAGCTGGCTCCTATCATCCACGACCTCAACTTCCAGCAGGAAAAGTATGAGGTGACGCACACGGTTGTTTTCAAGAACCCATCCCAGGCACTCCAAGAGCGACTTCGCGAAACCGGCCCTCTGCCTTCTGACGAAGAGAGACCCAAGAAGAAGGGCCTCGTGAGCAAGAAGGGAGCCCAAAAGTATGATTACGAAAAGATCGCCGAGGCCCTGGAGAAGCTTGAGGAGGAGGATCTTTTGCGCGTCATCCAGTTGATTAATGAGAATAAGGGACCGGAAACCTATATCAGGAGTGATGTTGAAGGTGAGTCCCTCCCCCTTTGTCCCTCAAAAAAACATCCAACATGCGTGTATCTTCTTTCCAATTTTGAATATCTCTCTTTTTCTTCTTTGGACAAGTCCACACCACGTGTTGATGCTTTTCTTTCGGAACTGTAGTGAGTAACTTGTCTGAAGCTGGCGAATTTTCCATCGATCTATATACCATGCCGGATGCGTTGACGACGAAGCTCTGGGAGCACCTGGTGAATATTCCCCTGAGGAAGCCTGATTTGAAGATTGCTATGAAACCGATTTTCTGACGGCTTTACAATGTATAGACTAAAAAGGGTCTTGTTGCCTAAAGAAGCTGTGTGTTGAGCCTCTAAGTTGCAGCAGCCCGTGCCATTGTAGGACGATCCGAATACGAGCTATAAGCACTTGGAGGCACTGGTCGATTGAGTTTGAGAGAGAGAGAGAGAGCTACACATTGTCTTTTTTGGTCTTTTTAATTTTTTTCCACTTATCACGGCAAGGAGCAATTATGAGAATACGCGCAAAAGAAACTACCGATACGACGGAAGTAATTGTGGTTTTATTTTGTAACGCAAAGGGTACCACCAGAGAGAGGAAGCGGGGGAGAGAACGACTACAAACAAGCTGGCATTAAAAAGAAAGATTTGCTCCAGAATAAGAATTCACGAAATCGATTCTTATTTTTTTTTTGGTTGTCGCAGAAGAATTTCTTACTCAATACTCTGCTACTCCGTTTTTTGCACTCCATTTCTTTTTTCTTTCGAAGGAGGGAACTGCACTTGGTGTCTTTTTTCTTTTTGAAGGCTCCTTCACTGCGATTCTAACTGCCTGATGAAGCACACAGTCGTCTTGAAGCCGTGGCAGAAGCTTTGCTCTCTCTCTCTCGACTCTTTTGATCTTGAAAGACTCTCCCCTCCCCTCTCCTTTTCGTTTGTAATTTGTCCTTTCTCATCTTGGCTCTTCTTTGCCCCCAGGAGCTTCACTGTGGATAGCAGAGGAGGACCGTCGAAGAGGATCACTATCTGGTTCTTAGTAAAATGAGGCTGTCGGAAGGATCCATCAAAACGGGGCCTCTTTATTATGAGGCGTGCCGGACTTTATGTATCGCTGGAGGACGGAAAAAATAATTTAAAGAGAGCATACATGGGTGCTTTTTCTGACTGTCAGGTACCTACTTTACAAGACGACGAGTGCTAGTTGGAAGTGAATAATGCTGTATTAGTGCGGGTAATTTATTTGACTTTTCCAGTGAGTGTTTGTGATAGATGATGACTTGTGCAGATGTGGAGTTTCACAACGGAAGAGTCAAGCCGGCATGTGAAAGTGAAAGTGACCATTTGGTTGTCCCCTTGCAGGAGAGACCAGGTAGAGCAGCCTCGCTTTTAATCAGACCGCCGTTTACTATTGGACATGGGGGCGGATGGGTTCTTCGGGTTGCGTTTACGAGCAGCTGCTGTAAGCATGCGCTGTGCTTGGATATGGATGGAGAGTGTAAGCGGGCTCTCTGTTGGTCGCGGTTCCTGCACTAGATGCTCGTTTGTGGATAGAATGGTCTTGGTGGCATATAGGAGGGTTACATAAGAACTTGCTTGGCAGGTGGACTATTGTTAGTCGATAGTACTTTTGTTCCGATGTCAATTTGAGCTGCAGATTGAGATAGATAGAGCTCCATAGTAGCAGTTCATCGTAGCTTTTGATCCGGATACCAGAAATAGAGCCTTGCTTCTACCTGAGCGTGACGTGCTTTTGACTTTAGACTTTAATATTTCACTTCTCTTATTCGGTGAGACGCATAATTCAATTCACATGACGCTACCAATGCTGATGCTGATGCTGATGGCGGATGCCTGGGCGGGCAACACGTAGCTCGTCCATCCCTTGCACTCAACAATTGCCAGCTCACACGCCACATGCCTGCGAAGCAGTACCTGAGACTCTCGGTGTGCGCCGGCAGCCAGTGGCGCTCTGGCGATCGATCCTCGAGTGCTTCACTACGCTCGTGACTCTTGGATCTGGTGCTAATGACAAACAAGTACTCCCCAGCTGGCGCAAGTACACTGTAGCCATGGCGGACGAGTCAATGAGTTTTTTCATTTCCGTCAACGTGACCTCCCAGGATGCAGCGTCTGGCGCCTCGCGATTGGCTGGACGGGGGCCTCCTATTGGCTAATAGCCACGTTGATTGGGCGGCGATTATTGGCTGCTGCACTGGGGCGGGTCCGGGGTGGAAAGAGGGGCCAGCGCGGCGGGAAAGAAGCTGCTGCGTCGCTGCTGCTGCGTGCTGCGGCTTCCACTAGGACTTCCCACTAACGTGCCTTTTCCCGCCTGGCCTTATCGCTATTTTGGCTTTTCTGGGGCGGGCAAGAAGCGAAGGCGCAGCCGTCTGGGACACCATTGGCACACAGATTTCAGGGAGGGGAAGGAGAGACGACGGCCCCCCTCCAGGGAAGGGTTCTGGCCTTTTTAGATTGAGCATGTAGGTCGGCAGGTACTTCTGGAACAGCACAAAAAAGTACCCGTACTGCTTGCTGCTAAAAGTTTTCCGGGGGAAGGAACGAAGCACAGGAGAGAGGAAAGAAGTCGAAAAAAAATTGTTACTGTTACGTCTTCTTTTTGTCTGCGCTTGACTTCAATTGGCTGTCTCTCCTCTTCTCTCTTACAAACCACCTGCTTTCTTCTCTGCCTTACTCTCCTCTCTTCTTATCTCCTCTCTTCTGCCGCCAAGGGAGTAAGGGAACAATTCAGCAAGAAAAAGGAAAAAACAAGGTAAAAAGGAAGGAACAGGCTATCGACGGATTCGTTTTCCCTTTTAACCTGCAGAGGGTGGTTCGATTTTCCTTCTTCTTACCTTCTTTTATACTGGATTCGATTTGCCATCCAAGCGTGCACCGAGACAGCGCGACCGACCCCCGCCAGCGTTTTGATTTTCGCTTGACTTCGGCCTACGCTGCCTCTGGCGCTCGCCATCCCGCCGCAAACCGCCCAACATCTCACCACCTTGTTGGTGGTTTCTGGGCACCCCGGAAATAGAGACGAAATGGCCCAATACACGAGCAACGCGAGTCCCGCCCAGTCGACTGCGACGGCAGCTTCAGCGCAGTCTTCGGTCCAGCAGCAGGCCGCCGCGGCCGCCGCGGCCGCCGCGGGGAACTCGCAAAACTCGCAGCACAAGCGCGTCTACCAGGCGTGCATTCCATGTCGCCGCCGCAAGGTGCGATGCGACCTCGGCAGCGTCGACAACCCCCACGATCCGCCGTGCGTGCGCTGCCGTCGCGAGAGCAAGGACTGCTACTTCAGTGCCACCAGGCGCAAGAGAAAGACCGACGAGGAGGACAGCGACGCCGACGAGTATGTCATCCGCAATGGCCGGAAGAAGCTCCACGCCGCCGATAGCCCTCCGTTTTCACGGTTCGATAAGCGACAGTACAGCGACACGCCGCTGACGCCCGGAGGATCGACTGGCCGCTCTCAACCGCTGCGACGACCGGATGGCTCCAAGGAGAACGGCCGCCGGCGCGATGGCGAGTTTGGCGATGGCGATTCCAACCAGACGCTGGAGAACCTGGAGGCTCAGACCGTCATGAGGCAGGGCGTCTTTGGTCCTCACGACGCTCTGGATCTCCTCTACAAGGCCGCGACGGATAGGTTTGTCATGCCATCCTCGGTTGCTTTGGGTACTGCTAACGGCCAGTCCAGCCCGGCTGCCGATACACACAGGCGCCAGCCAAGCATGGCCTCGGTTGCTGCAGGGCCGCCACTACAGGCTCAGGCAGCAGACGAGCGGAACAATCGTGCCAGGTCAAGAGGGCCGTCCATGTCCGTCCGGCCAGAGCAACCCGTTGACCCTAATCTGGATCGACCAACTCTGAGCGCCCAGCCCGGCTATGAAGATGCCCTGAGAGCTTGGTCAAGGTTCCGTTTCGTACGTGCAGGATGGTTCACTGCGCAGGAAGCCATCGAGTACATTGACTAGTAAGTCCACTTGCCATGATATTCCAGTTTACAAACCTATGAAACTAACTCTTGTTCTCCCCGTCAGCTATTATAAATACCTTTCTCCTCTTACACCGATTTCGCCTCCAACCTTTAGCAACCCTTCATCTCACTTGACACTCTTGACCGAAGAGCCTATTCTTACAGTCACCTTGCTTACGATTTCCTCGAGATACTGCCAACTTCCCGGCGCTGGTGGTATTTGTCGATCACACGCCGTGCCCGAACAGCTATGGACGTATCTGCGCGGTATGATTGAGAGATGTCTATGGGGACAGGAAGCTTTTGGAGGTGGTTTCTGCGGCTCAGGATCTGCATCCACTTCAATGATCACCGAAGAGTCCCAAACAAGCAGCACGGCGCCGTGGCGAGGACTTCGCAAGGGCAGCTTGAGGACATTGGGTACGATAGAGTCGTTGCTGATCCTGACCGAGTGGCACCCTCGTGCGCTGCACTTCCCGCCGAATGAGGCCACCGATGAGCTCGTCCTCCCAATAGCCGAAGCCTCCCCACTGATGGCATCTGAGGATGAGCTGCACAGAACAGTCGGACCAGGCATCGGCGGTAAGAGGATCGAGAGCTGGCTTGAGCCGGCATGGAGGAGCGACCGCATGTGCTGGATGCTTCTTAGTACTGCCATGGGACTGGCGTATGAGCTTGGTGTCTTTGATGACATTGATGAGCTTCTCAAGGACGATGCCATCACCCGACCAGAGTATAAAGATGAAGTCTATCGTCAACGCGCCAATCGCATCAAGCGGCTGCTGCTCATCTACACGAGCCAGCTTGCCGGACGCCTGGGCTGGACCAGCATGACGCCAGAGCACCTTCGAAAGGCTGATCCGGCCGTCGCTCGTCAGAGACCCTTGACCACCGACAGCAGCAGCACGCCTGCGACGAATCCGTCCTCCCTGGCAAATGGGTTCAACTATGTCCCTGATCTAGAGCTCGATGATCAAATTATCCATTGCTGGGCCGGTATTAGCAACGCCATGCATCTCGGCAATGAGAAGCTTTTCAAAACCCGCAAGCACACCACGGAAATCATTCAGTCGGGCAAGTACGTTGACTTGCTTAGGGATTTTACGCCTCTTCTGAAGGACTGGTACCGAGAGTTTGAGCTGTTCCGCTTGCCGCAGTATATCAGGCATATCCTTACCATTGAGTACGAATATGTGCGGATTTACATCAACTCCCTGTCATTACAGGCTGTAGTCGAGCGTTGTACGAGTAACACTACCAACGGGGTACAGCCGACGCATCTTTCTCCCCAGACAATGATCAATTACGGAAAACTGCCACTCGGCCAGCTGGGAGGCTTCACTGTGCATGACCAGGAGTATGTGCGCGAGGTCGTGGAGGGAAGCCGGAACCTGCTTCGAACGGTTGTTGAGGGGCTGCTTCCTGGCGGCTATCTCAAGCACGCGCCTGTGCGAACGTACTTCCGCATCATCAGTGGTGCCATGTTTTTGCTCAAGACCTTTGCCCTCGGCGCTCCTCGCTCCGACGTCAAGATGAGCATTGACCTGATGGATGCTACCGTGGAGGCTCTGCGCAACTGTATTGTTGACGACGTCCACTTGGGTATTCGCTTCGCCGATTTATTAGAGTCTTTGACGAGCCGTTTGCGAAACCGCTTTATTCAAGCGCCCATGCCACAGGCATCTGCGAAAGCACAGAGTCCTGTCCCGGAGACAGGCAGCGCTGGAGGCGCTGCGCCGGTGCAGAACGGAGAGAATGGAGAGAATGCAAACTGGGTGGGCAGCCACGCGCAGAGGCTTAGGGATGGCCTCAACGGACAGTGTGAGTTGGAAAATACCTTTTATATAACGTTGAAGTTTTGGAGACTAATTTGGTTCAATATTAGACCGGGTGCCAACTCCGACTGCTGAGGCGAACAACATCTCTGCCACGCCTTTCGACATCTCTGGCGGAAACTTCCCGTACCATGGGGCGTCATCAATTGGCCCGTCTACCCCTGCGGCTGACAACAACAACACGTCAGCCAACATGGACGTCAACTTGTTTGACGAGTGGAATAATGCTGGAAGTGAGATGTGGTATCTGCCCCCTGGCCCAGCTTTCTTCCAGAACATGGAGAACAGCTCTGTTGCCATGACTGCAGAGGGCGTCAACGTTGGCGGATTGGATCTCTTGGAGTATATGGCGATGGATCCCGTGCATTTTCCCGGCTTGGATGGGGGCAACAGCGGAACAGCCAGCTAAGTAAAGGCGGAGCCTTGATCTTTACAATGAGCGGTGAATGTGATTTCTCACGGAGTGCATGGGTATCAAAAGTTATGGGTGTGGTACCGGAATATGGAAACAGGTTGTCTTGGGTATTTTATCAGAATCTATCAGTGTCATGTTTGGTTACGCTACCATTAAAAATGATGGGTACAGTAGTGCAGATTTTTAATTTCAAAACTTGATGATGATAGTATCTATCAAAACGTGTTCTGCTGCAAACTGTTCTAATTGATGTACGTTATAATCAATCATTAATAGACTCTCTAACATTAACAGACAAATACCTTACCTACACAGACAACTAGGCAATATCTAGCCTAGGTTATCCCAGCTGCCTTTTTCTAAGTTAAGGTACTTTTATTTTATCCTTGCTTATTATCTAGGTACCTACATATGTACGCCTGCCCCTTTACCTTCTAAATTGAATTATAGTCGACACAGCAGTCTGCTAACGCTGTACTCCTTATTATATTAATGTATCTAGGGGGCTCTGAGACCGCTGTTCTCCGCAGCCTTTGCTATAATCACTGTTATTATAGAAATATTAATAGGAACAGCGCAACTTGAATGCGTTAGCTAACTAGTAGCTTTTCTTACTTACAAAAATTTCAAGAAAATAAGCTGGAATTTCTTTTACTTATAGGAAAATGCAGCTAAATTAACCCAGTCTAGATTTGACTCAGTTATCTATATATATAGAATTTGTCTGTTAATATTAGGGGGTTTATGATTAACTGTCTTATTAACAGGGGCCTGTAAAAATGTAGGTAGAGAACAGGCATACGAAAATGGACCGCGCACACACCAGCGGCGCTAGCCTACTAGTGCTCTTTTTGGGTACTTTTTTGTTTCCAAAACTTCTTATATACATAAGGTACCTACACACTAACATTAAGTACCTCGGGTTGCTGGATAGCCAAGCTAAAGTGCTGAGTAGGTAGTCCCTTATTCTAACATATGTGTATATTTGTGTATATTGTTTTGCGGTTTCTAACATCCCTTGCCAATGTCATCTGGACCCTGCATGAGTAGCTTATTCTATTTTGGGCTAGCTATTGTGGGTCAATACTTGATCACTTCTTATAGTAGTATATAATTTGTGGTTGCTATTACTTCGCGGCTTGTCGAGAGAGACAACGAGGCTATCAACAGCAAATTAAACTAAGTCTCAGATAGCCAAGCTTGCTCCGCTGTCGAATTCAGAGACGAACACGTCATGAAACGATCGAATGTATTAGCCGAGCACTTGTTTTGGAAAAAGCATACGTGTATATAGCCATAAGTGATTTTAAGCAAAAAAAAAAAAGCGCATTCGCTTCCTTTTGGGAAGCATCTCCTGGCTGTATTATGGATAAACAGGCCCCTCATCATCTTCCGCCGCTTATAGGACCGCCGCAGCCTGTTAAATCCGATATTCTATTCGTCACACGTTAGACAAAGCAGTGCGAGGCTTGTCGATTAAGGCTGCCTTACAGGGCTTTATGCCTGACTATTACCCCTTACCTACCAACGCCCTGATAACTTCTATGAACATAGAATAAGCTGCTTGTCTATAGAAGTTACTAACTGATTACTCTTATGTGTACTTTACTATTCACTGCTCCTGACAAGGACCATCCTAAGGCCGTCTCAGTCATGGCTTCAAAGCTATTATGCAACTTTAGACTCATACCAAAGCTGCCGAAGATATTCAGATTCAGGAAGTCTTCATCAAAGCCACAGCCTCAGCCCGAGAAGAAGCGTGCATCTACACTAGATTCGGCTTCTGAAGCGACGGATACATCGGCAGCAAATCCTCCTTTGACGACGAAGATCTTCGAGCCGGCCGCTCCTATACCGGAAACACCAAATCTGTTGAAGGTGTCACTCTGGGACCGCGCGTACGACAACCTCAGAGAGAAAGATAAGACACTAGTTGAAGACTATGAACGGATTCTATCTAGAGAGCTGCCAAAAGACATCAGTCCAAAGAATGGTATACAATTTGATGACTCTCTACAAATATCCTGCGAAAGATAAGCATAATTTGACAAGAGATGTTGGTTCCAGAATATGGCAATTACGATGAAAGCCTTACCCAAGCCGAGAATCGGATTAAGAATGACGACCATAAAACTCGGTTGACGCAGTTGGAAACAATCACCAGCAACGGATTGCATAAGTTGGACAAGAAAAAGGCTAGATATTATCTTTTTGGCTGCGAGTTTGTAGTCCGCGACCAGTTTACGCAAGCTACTCGGTTCATCCAAACCATCAAAGAGGTCATTGATGATGCCGTTAAGACATCGCCTGAAGCCGCCCTAGCATGGGCTGGCGTATGTGTTATCCTTCCTGTACTCATGAACCCCAGCGTGGCAGAAGAGGCGACCCGTGACGGCTATCTATATGTTACCTCTCGCATACGTTTCTACGTTAAGCTGGAGAAACTACTGTCAGTGGGCAGTAAACTACAGGATTCTGGCCTGGATATCGAGCTTGAGGAGCGTCTCATGACACTCTACCAGCTAATCATTGAATTCCAGATCAAAATCGTTCGACGCATCTATCTAACGCGACTAAAGAGGCTTCAAGAGGACGCAGTTCGGCATGAAAATTGGAAGGGAATGATAGCCAAGATACAAGAGTCGGAAAAGATTTTTAATGACGACTTCACGCTGGTTAAAGATATACCGATGAAAACAACCCTGGAGGAGCTGAACTGCAATACAAAAGAGCTATTTATGCGTATTGATGCCATGATGGGTTCTTTGCTAAATGCGACTAGTCACAGTGCGCCTGCGCTCACTTTCGAAAATGAAGGTTCAGGCAATCAGTTTAATGCGACTGGCGGGACTCAGAACAATGCCACAGGTAGTGGTATGCAGTTTTCTGATGTAACATTCAGTGGTTCTGTTACGTTTTAATGCTAGAAGCTTTGACAAAGACTGGGCACAGCTATGCAAAAATAAAAGTCTGTTCTTTCGCTCATCGCTCGCAGCTCAAGGCTTGAAACACCTTAACCCATTCAACGCTGATACATCTTGATAACTACTATATTCTAGCCTTCGACATCATTTCTAGAAGGTTACAGCTCCTGTAAAGGTAACCCCAGAGAATTGCGATCCACTACCAGTTGCATTGTTTTGGGTGCCTCCAGCCGCGTTGAACTGGTTGCCGTTGCCAGGGTTCAAGAAGTGGTTCGCCACCTTTTGTTCGATGGGCACCGACGGTTTCAGATCCTGCAGCTTTTTGATCTCAGCTTGCAATTCGACTAAGAGTTGCCTCTCATTTTCCTTTTCCATGTCGCATTCCGTCGCCAAAGTACGAATATGCTCCATCATCTTTACGGCCAAAGCCTCCACCAAATTGCTCTTGCCATTTGGTCCAATATAGGCCTCGTAAGACTGCTGCCTTTCATCGATCGGTGCTTCTGAGACCTTTTTGAATATAGTCTCCAGGGATGTCGCAGTGATATTGCAAGACTCAAGAGAGGTCGAGGCAGCTTGTGCAATATCTCCCTGTGTTTTGGTCTGGATCGTGCTCAGTGCGTTGTCAATTAGAGTGAGCTTACGACCTGCTTCGTGAAATGTATCTCCAAGCCTCTTATCGTGCTGCACTATTTGGTAATTGCTCATAGCGGCTTGCACAGCGGTGACGATGTTCGAAATAGGATCGGCGGATTTAGTGACTGCCATTGTTTCCAAGTTGACGCAAGCACTCAGTCTCACAGCTATCGAAATAGTCGATATGTTTTGCATGTAGAAACTGATGTCAGGTTGTAGAAGAAAATATTAGCAATGAGCTTCTTTGGGAAGAAATTGCCTATCGTGAGAGCCTTGGGTGCCCGGGGCGCCCGCATTAATGCCCAACTCCAAGTAACCAAGCATACGATGCAATCATATCAACCAGTAGAATTCAGCTTCCAACTAAACTCGACTTACATAATATGACGAAGTGATTTCAAGCAGATAAAATTATCATTGGGCGAAACATGTAGGAGTAAGCGTACATCATGTAAGACTGTAAAACTTATAGATTATATTAAGTATATATGCAGCTATGCATGATACGCAAGAAACAACTGCTAGTGAAAGTACAATTGCGTCTTGAAAACATATCAATAGCCAAGCTTTATGTAACAGTCAATGTTTTAATGCCATAGAGTAACCCTTTAGTAGCTACATAAATGCTATGTATCACACCTGGACCTTCGAGGCTTAAACGAGCATACTTTCAGCGCCCGCCCACAAACGAAATAGATCTACGAGGCTGAGACGAAAGAGTAATGACCATATCTACCTGGTAGTAGTACGTTAGTAGGCATCACATTGGTAGACTCCATCATATTTCGTCAACACATTCCGCCTTTTGCATCTGCCGTTGTTCATCATATTGCCTCTTTCCAATCGTGTAAGGTAGAGCTGGAGATCCACAATGCTCGCTAACTTGTGTATCATAGGCTTTTAAGAGCCTAAATATATCCATGTATCCTTTTTCAGCGGCCGCCTCAGCTGGTGTTAACCCATTCTGGTCAGTGACACTCATATCGGCACCATATTGGAGAAGAAGTTTGACTACTTCCATGTGTCCATGAAGACACGCAGACAAGAGAGGTGTGGCATGATGAACTGGTTTGTTGATGTTTACGCCTTTTTTGATCAAATAGCGGGCTGTGCGGACGTGACCGGCTTCGCATGCCGCAAAGAGTGGTGTTTTTCCGTCACCATCAGGGTCATCTGCATCAACACCCTCATCTGCATCAACATCACGCTCTATCAAAAGTTTAACAATTTTGATATGGCCATTTGCAGCGGCGATGACAAGAGGTTTCCGGCCATCACTGACCTGGCTAGCGAGAGCAGCCCTTTTTAGAATGAGGTATTGAACTATTGCCACATGGCCATTTGCGGATGCGGAAAATAATGGCCAGAAGCCTTCGTGATCAGCTGCGTTGATGTCCAGTGCCCCTCTGAACAATAGCTTTGTCGGCTTGATGTGCCCGAAAAAACACGAAGCGTGAAATGGCGTATGTCCCCAACCATCTGGTGCGGTGACATCAGCTCCCCGTTTGATCAAGAGCCGAAGAACATTGATGTGGCCGTAAGAAGACGCTATGTAAGCCGGCGTCTGCCTTTTATTGTTGGGCCTCATATCTGCTCCATTATCAAGAAGGAGTTGAACGATCTTGAGATATCCATGGCGACAGGCGCAAAACAGCGGAGTCCGTCCTTTGTTATCTGTGACCGAGACATTGGCGCAATTATCAACCAACAGCTTAGCCAGCTTGAAATCGCCCTCACAGCTTGCTATCAAGAGTGATGTATGCCCAAAAGAGTCTCTGGCATCAATGTCCACGCCATGCTTGAGTAGAACATTGACAACGTCAACATGGTGATTCATACTTGCTAACACAAGCGGTGTGCGGCCATGTTTGTTGTCTACATGTACCATGACATCAGATCCGTTTTCAATTAGAAGATCAACAATCTTGGCGTGGCCGTTCTCTGATGCTATATGAATAGGCAGCCAGCCACTCTGACTTTTGGTGAAGATGTCAGAACCCCATGAAAGAAGCAGCTGGAGCACCTTTAGCTGACCATTGCAGGCTGCTGCATACGCCGCGCCCATCCCCTCAATATTCACAGCATCAAGGTCAGCACCTTGTTCCACCAGCAATTTTACCAGGTTGACATGGCCATTCGCACATGCTGCGAGTAATGGTGTTTGCCCCTTTTCCTCAATCGCCCTGATGTCAGCGCCTCTCTCGATCAGTAACCTAGCCACCTCTATATGGCCATCGCAACATGCTCCATAAAGGGGCGTCAGACCGTGCGGGCCAATACCGTTGGGGTCTGCGTCGTATTCCAATAGCAGTGATACAACATCAACGTGGCCATTGCAAGATGCCTTCATAAGCGATGTGTTTAGAACATTTGGAAGCCAATTGTCGTCAACTTCCAACTTCATCAGCACCTCGACAATGTTTGTGTAGCCTCCCTCGGATGCTCTAAGGATAGCGGCGTAACGGTCTGAGTGGTCGGCAGAAACATCAACGCCCTTTTCAATTAGCATTTGGACGACCTCAAAGGACCCTGCAAAGGCTGCCGCAGAAAGTATCGTATTCTCCATGGTATCAACAAAGTTGATATCAGCGCCATTGTTTATGAGTAGTCTAGCCACTTTTAATTGACCATTGACACATGCAGCGTACAGAGGCGTTTTCCCCGCTCGATCGGGTGTCATTATGTCGACTTCGTTCTCGATGAGGAGTTTCACAACTTCGCAATGCCCATTGCAGCAAGCCGCAATGAGCGGCGTTTGCCCGGTATCTGCGGTGCTTATCGTGTGATTGGCGCCAAACTTTAGAAGCAGTTTGACAATATCATTATGGCCATTACTACATGCCACAAAAAGCGGTGTTTGGCCATTATGGGCGAGTATGGTGTGATCAGCGCCTTTTTCTAGCAGAAAGGCAGCGATTTCAAAATGACCATTGAAACATGCTAAGAAGAGAGGCGTTTGTCCCCAAACGTCTTGCAGCGTAAGATCCGCACCACAATGAACAAGCAGTTTCACAATATTGGTTTTGCCGCTAAAACAGATGATATGCAATATTGTCTGCTTTTCAATTCGACTCCTGGCGTTGAGATCTTTCTCATGCTCAATGAGGAGCCGAGCCAAATGAAAAGAGCCGCTCTGCAACGCCCTGTTTCCGAGCGGAGTCGTAAGATAACCCGACGACTTGGGATGTGCGCCGATTCCAATGAGAAGCCTGGCCGCCTGAATATGTCCATTGGAGCTTGCTTTGGAGAGTGCGCCATCGCCGTTCTTGTCCAGCTGATGGATATTGGCACCCTTCTGGATCAGTCGCCTCATGATGCTCAGATGGCCGTTGGAGCTTGCAGCAAGGAATGGAGACACTCCATGATAATCTCGGACCGCGATATCAGCTCCATTGTCAATTAGAAGCTTTACCAACCCCGAGTGGCCATTCAAAGCCGCATGATGTAATGCGGTTCGGCCCTGAGCATCTCTGATTACGACTTTGGCACCGTATGCAAGAAGTTCGCGAGCAAGAACCTCATATCCCTTTGCGCATGCAACTCCCAGAGCTGTGCGATTACTCGAGTTGCAGTTCACGAGGACCTTACCCTTCTTGACTATGGCCATAGCCACGTCGACAAATCCAAGTTCTGTTGCATAACATAAAGGGATGGCCGGGTGGCAGTTTGTATTGGCCCAGCCTTTATTAGCTGAATCGAACCACTTCCTCCACATGATCCACGACGAGCTTTGCTCATCAAAAAACTTTTCCATCTCTGTTAATTGGTTTTGCTGAACTGCTCCAGCTTCGGCATGTTTATTCCAAAATCTCGCTGCATAGTTTGTAAAGGAACTGGAGTGCGGCACCCCATCGGTTGCGGAGCCTTGCCAAGCATAGGAATAGCTCATATAAGTGATACATAGGTTGGCTAGAATGGCATGCTCAATTGCAATCATTGATGAGCCATTTCGCTGAGTCGACTTTTGATACGGTATATGGGTAAGCAAGAATTCTTTGACAGAGAAGTGCACGAGATGTACTGTCCATTCTCCGATAGGAGTTTCAGAGTTTCGCATTCGGGTCTCCAAAAGAGAATGACAAAGATCTAATATCCTCTCTTTGACGTATTTCCTATTCCAATGTCTGGGAAGCTCACGGACTGGGAAGTTTTCATACCCATGACCCACAAGAACGGCCTCACTTATCTCGCGAACTGTCAAAGGGCGGAGAGAGAACGCAGCTAAACGCAATAAGGAGACTGCTCTGGCCCGATCATTCCGTGAGAGTTTACTGATGTTTGCCCAGTCTCGAGCGTAAAGACGAGAAAGATCAGCAGGCGTTGCCTCCACAGCATCTCGAAGCTGTTTCTGGCTCAATCCTTCGCGCAGATAGTCCTTTTGTAACCTCAGCCAAAGAAACTGACCTTTACTTCGGTCACTCATATTCTTAGCCATTTCAGCTTGGATATGCGTCCCTTCGTTAGATAGTTTCTCTGCCACGATGTGCTCTGACAGCGCATATATATCTGAGCGGACGTCTTTCTCACACACCTCATAGTGAGAAAATTCCACGCCCTTGATAGAAGTCAAGGCACGGTAGATATGAGGTTCATTTCGACTTATCACAAGGATTCTAGTATTCGTGCCGTCCACCGCCTTGCCAAGTTCATTCACAAACTCGGCCACGGATAAGCAAGAGCTGCCCGGAGAGCACTCGTCGAGACCGTCGACGACAAGTGTACAGTTTTTAACCATCTTGATTACCAGTCGGAACAAGTCGATGATGACGGTTTGTGAAGCCGCCACACCACATGCCCATTTTTTGTCGATGGCATCAGCTACCAGTTCATTGTTCAAAGCCATATGGTAGATCCACGATCGCATAGCGACCATAGGGTCTTTGTGACTTTCGAGGTCAGATGAGAAGAAGTAATAAGCGACAAGGTCTTGTTGCTCATCCTTGATATGTTGAATTATTCGAGCACAGAGAACCGTTTTTCCAAAGCCTGGTGGTCCGTATATCCAGAGCAACTTTGGGGATGAAGATGGTAGCGATCGCCATTTCTTAAATAGCGGATAACCAAGAATCCAGTCGCAAGTGTTTTCCAGTCGTTTGCGAATAGAATTGTCATATCTCTCGTCGGCTATGTGACTGCCCAAGAGCCAAACACGAAGCTTTTGAAGGATTTCAGCTACGGAGAATTTAAGTTAATATCAACCTCAGACATATTTCCTCAGACGTGGTTCGCGAAGGTAGGGTCTTACCTCGGGATTCTTCGTCTCTTACGTCGAAATACACTTCTCCATTGAAAGTAGAGCCGGCAATCAGTGTACCCTTTGTAACAATGTTTTGGCTACCCTCTTTATTATTAAATTGAGCTCCGGAACTCGAATTGATTGCGAAAGAGCTGCTATTCATTACAGCGCTTTCTGTTCTGTGGGACTGTGTCTTTTGGTTGTGCTCGGTGGAATCATGATTCGCGCCTGGTTGGCTAGTTGCTCTTTTCATCACCCGAGCCTGAACCAGATCTGCGAATTTCGTCATTATCAGATCCAATGACAGAAGTGGGTCGGTTCTTATGTATCAAAAGAGTGCGACGTAACAACATGTATCTTCACCATCCCAGTGGTTAACAGAGCAGATGAGATACCTTGGTAAATTGACTTCAGGTTCGAATTAGAAAATTGAAAAGGTGAGAGTTCTCTTAATTAACATCTGTAAATTCCTGCTTTTGAAATAAAATTTTCCCAGAATTGAGGCTCCCCCATCTCTCTAGGCGGCCAAGGCATTATTGAAGCCTAATCATACTACATACATCCGGCAGCCTCGCAGCCTTTACGGTAATGGATCCTTCTGCAACTGTTACACAAAATATCCGCCTAAAGGTCACACGACAACCATTAGCTTTGGGAAGATAATCATCTATTCGGTAATTCTTGAGAACCGACCTCGGCGACTACCAACGACCCATTTCAGTGCATATACTTGAAAGAGCGGCGAGAATGAGCAAGGAAATTAGAACACTGGGGAATAGCACTTAGCAGAACCAAGACGCTGGAAGATATAAAGCTGATACAACGTTTTGAATAATGCAAGCATGCCTAGCATGCAAACTGCCTATCACAAAGGCAAAAAGTGATTGTGCTAATGTAAGCCACAAAGAGGGCCACTAGATTTTGCACTCCATTATCACTTAATAATTCAATCTCATAAGATAGAGTCCCGTGGCACTGTCGGTGTACACGTGGCCTTCTTTTCGCATAAAAAAAAACAAGGCAAACAGAAGGCTTCTCGCACTTATCAGTTCGGTATTCCCTGACAACCCTCAAAAACCTGATTCTGGCGACTAGCCACTCAGTTCGGTGAGGGCACTTATCAGTCGGCATTACTTTGGGACTGAGCTCGATGAGTGGCCTCAACAAACTTGGGCCATAAGCCCGTTGCGGCTCTGCTTTTGGAAACACCTGGTTGGCTGACACACATCCAAGCAATGATACGAGATGACCGACCCTCTTTGCATCCCAACCCGGCTGCATTACCAAGGACACCTCACACGTCTACACAAGATGTAAGTGCAAGTAAAAATTACAGCTGTGTTGAAATAGCTCTGGATAGGCTACCTTAACAACTAAAATTGCTGTTGATTGATCCTTCCCGGGAGAGGGGCAGAGCAGGCCCCATGCAAACAAATTTACGCCCTGGCCATATTATTCATTTACACACGTGGGTATTGAATATCAGTTCTAGGCCCACATAGCAATATCTCAGCATTGGCAGTTATTGCTTTTGTACCTTGTATTAATATCGAGTCTTACCTCGCTCAACCTACTTACATAGGTACCTTGGTACCCGAGGTAAACAATTCACATACCCGCCCTGAACACTAGGCACAGAATGCGATAATTTCCTTTTCCGCCGTCACTGTAAATTCAAAGTTATAGTTGCGGTCTGAAAGTTATATACTTGAAAGTTTCAAATTGCTTTTTTCTTACCATAAGCGACTAAATGGATTGCGAATACGATAGGCAATAAGTATTGCAATGACAATAACAAAATGCCTATAGGAGCTACAGGTTGTTAATAACATGGAATCAGGAATTTGGGAAGAGGCTAGAAGTGGCATAACATACTTCCAATACGCCATAATTCCCAGCTTGTTGGATTACTGGTGTCACCAGTAAGCTGAGGAACATTCTGGCCAAAGTAAGAGGTAAAGAAAGATAGCGGAAGCTATTGGTAAATCTGTTAATTTTCAATTCTAAGAGTAAAAGGCCATAATTGACGTGCAAAGATAATAGTGACAATTGTAAAGAGCATAATAACACGCCCTTGCTGTGTTGTAGAGCGAGCTTCCATTGGGGCTGCTGTTGTCTGCTTAAGATCTAGAAGACTAAGTAGCTGAGTTTGGAAATAGACTTGTTAGAGCATGAACGATAAATTAATTTGAATAGGCCCACAACCTACCATCTTATGCGTGTTGTCTCCCTCCCGCAATAGCTTGTCCACTTCGGCGATTAGAAGGAGTAGAGTCTCATCAGCTGACACAACAGTGTCATAAGTTATGCCCCCCCCCTCTTTTTTTTTTAGCTAATTGTTTGGTTGTTTCAACAGAATCCTCTGAGTTTGTTTGGGATGAGGTAATATTGAATACGGCACCCTCATAGATTCCGGAGTGAAAAATCAGTGTCATTTGCGGTCCGTTGTTTTAAGGAGATCCCTCCCTGGTAGGATGAAGATGACATATAGCCAATATAAGAGATTTAAGGACTTCTCTTTGTTTGTCAGCAAGATTGCGAATCATTTTCAATTAGTCAATGATATCTGCCACCTGAAGAACTAGCTCTAGCTCTTTCTGGATGTCAATTGACTCAGATTGACGGTTTCTCTTTATATTGAAGTTTTCAAAAGCTTGAACCTGTTCGACGGCCTAACTAAAGGTTTGGTCTAGAGCATCATCGTATATAACTTTTGCACACTTTTACCTTTTTGCTTACTACCCACCTAAAAGTCTCTACGAGATCCAGGACATTTTTATTTCCCTGCTGAAACAGATATGATGTAGCCTCTTTCTCTAAATTTGAGAAGAGTTCTCAAACAGTTTCAGAGTGACGGCAAGATTCCAGCATGTTTGTATAGATGTCGACAAATCCGTTGGGTTTATATTAAAACTCGTCAGATGAGAAGCATGATAGAATAGTGTCTAACAATGAAATTTTTAGGTCAGTAATGGGCTTAGAATTGTGTCATGGTGGATGCCATATACTATCATCAAGGACCTAACACCACAGCTGATCAATAATGATCATCAAGCTATTATCTGCAGCTTTAGTTCTCCCATCATTTCCCAGATCATTTCCCGACCATTTCGAAATAACTTGATCATGGTCCCTAAAAGTCGTGTCGTACAGAGAACCGTAGTGAAATTGATCCAGAGTTCGCCTTGGATGAAGGGTAGGAGTATTCTCTAAGTAAAGATGTGATAAGGACTTTTCCATACTTGCTCTCTTCGTGGTGCTCGAGAAATTTGGCTGGGGGTTCAGATTGATTAGTCGCATAAGACTGACTGAGAGTTAGGAATTGGCTATAAATATCCCAACTCATGTATGGAAGCTGAGATAAGAACGAAGTTTTCTATTACTGATATTTCATCTTGAGAAGTAAAAAGTCTAAGAATTAACATAGAGTGCGAGTAGAGGTTGTTTCGGTTCAGTATCTTCGAGAGTTCTGTCCTGTGGTTGCGTTGAGTGGTCAAAATAATCTAAATCATGCGCCTGGATATTTCCAGGCTGTCTCGAGGCAAGATTTAAATGTCTGCCCAAGGTACAGGAAGGTTCCATGTGTCGGGAGTGAAGAGGCTTGTTGCCTGGATGTGGAAGCCCTGGCAGTACCTTAAGCTCCCACATTTGCTCCCAGTTTGTTGTCTAGACCGCCAGCTGTTTGGAACCATCTTCCCATGAAAATGTCGATCCATGCCATGTTGTTCGCCGGAATGTGAAACCACCGTAGCTTGGAAGGGTTGAAATCAGTTTGGTCGTCATTGTAAGTTTTGACTTCATTATCATTTTCGACTGCCTTGTCAATGCCGAAAATGTTAAAATTCGGCTCGTTGAGATCTGCGGTAGTGAAGGAATCTCCATCTGCGACGTCTTTTTTATGTGTGGTATGAAGCGAAACTTTACAGTCTTTAAGAAATGCAAGCTCGGCAGAATCTGATACGCTGGAACCCATGGTGTACCGCTCTGTCTGCATATAAAACTTAGTCGTGAGGGAGTATATCTGTTAGTTGTCCAGTCGGATTTAGCAGGTCAAGATACAGTATATATAGATAAATAAGTAAGGTGAGTAGGCAGGTAAATCAGGCACGTTGGACTACCCAACGATGCCTGAAGTGCAGCAGCCCAACGCTTCTCCAAAACTTCAGGCATCAGAGCAGGCTCTGGGGGTGCACACGCGTGTCTGCATACGCATGCAACACTTTGATACTACAGAAAGTAAAGGCTCTCCACCGTTCTATACTGGAATGCTAAAATGTGCCTTCTCCCTATCGACTACTGTGGTCTGCTAATGTTAGATGCTAAGCCACTGCCAGATCTTTGGTACTCCAAGCTTGCTGCGCAAGAGAAATAACAACACTCTTTTGTAGTTCAACATCACTTCTCATGCTTGGGTAGATGTTCTTTGACGAGCCTGAGTTCGAGCTGTCCTACGCAGTCTGATTTGATCAGGTTCGCTTGCTACGCTACAGCTGTATCTCCACAACATGAAGGCAGTTAGTCCACGTATTAAAATATGCAACTGCTAAAGACATTAAAAACTCATACCATCCGTCATCAGTAGCATCAGTAGGTCCATGTAGACATATTACCCGGATGTACATACTAGGAATGCGGTGATAGTGGTGATAGCCCCACCATAGGCCTTGCTAGGGTGCTAGATAACTTTAAGAGAATGCCTCATCGCAAGGAAGCAAAAAGACAAACAAATTGACACGCCTAAAAGACAACACGAACAATGATCTTCTCATTTTTCTTTCCATTTTTTATTTTCTCAACCTAAAATTTCCTTCCACCACCATCCACTACCATTCATCTCTCAATCTCCAACCCTAAAAAAAAAAAGACACAGAAGAACAAATATAAGAGCAACATATAAAAAAAAGCTGTGCGATGTGTATATATATGTGTGTGTAGTACAATTGTGTGAAAAAGAAAAAAGAAGTGATTCGAAGAAATTAGCTACTAAGTTAAACAGCAAAAAAATAGTTCTTGTAGCAAATAGAAAATAGCAAAGTAGAATAAGTAAAGCGACAAAAAGGATTTTTCTTTGTGGAGTGGTATCATGTGAGTGTGTTCTTCTTTTCCTTTCCTTGAGGAAGAGCAGATGAGATGTAATAACAAGGGAAATATTTGGTGCTCGTCGAGGTGTGTGCGTGTATGCTATAGGTAGTGTAGAAGAGAGATAAAACGGGAAAGTCAGACAGACAAACAGACAGACAAGGAAAAGGTTGTACAAGCAGACTCTCCTTGAAGAGTGCATCTTTCGCTTGTGGGGGTATAAAACCATCCTCTAACGAATATTGTGTTGTTCAAAGTTCAAATGACCACCCTTTTCCACTCTAACACCTCCTTTTCCTGTCCCAACCTTCTATGTCTAGTTGGTATGTTAAGCGTAGTTTTTGAGTGAAATGAGAGAGCCGGAGGGGGAGAGAAAAGGATGGATACGGGAAGTAGAGGTAAGTAGAGTTCAGTTTCAAAGGTGCCGTAAGAAATATTCCGACATCGTCAGACATGAGAGACTATGAGTCTCCTCGAAATAGAGGATTTGCCTTTTCAGCACTTATCGGCTATAGTTAGCATGAGCAGCTTGCAAGACTAATCAACCAGTTAGCAAATATTTCAAACACGTATAAGAGGAGCAACCCACCATGCAGCACATTAAGCTGTCCCGTCCTATCCTCACACGCCAACTGAATCGCCGTCCCCTCCACAAAATCCAACACCACACTATTTGGCAGCTCCTGCACCTCCACGTCCGGCGTGTACGGCTGTCGAAACTCGCCCAAAAAATACCGCTTGGGTCCCACGACGGCGCGCCCGCTCTGCGTTCCCGCGGCGAGAATGATGAAGCCCTGGGCGTCGAGGCACAGGTTTCGTCGCTTCCACAGCAGACTGTCCGGGAACTGGACGTTGACGTCGCCCAGGTCCGATACGATGGCCGCGTCGCCAGAGGAAGCCGGGGGAGCAACCTTGCGGGCCTGTGTAGGGGCAGCAGTGCTGGCTGCGGTGGTGATGCTGGTGGCAGTGGTGTTGATGCTGTCTTCTACCGAAGAAGTCTTGCTCTTGGACGAGCCCGTGGAAAAGTTGGAGAGTTTGCGCATGAAGCGTCCGGCACGGGACGACTTCCTGTCCTTCTCATCGCCAGAATATGAATCCTCCGTCACACTAGAGTTAGCTAGATTATCGCGATCAAGAGTGATTGAGCGCCGGCTGCTGGGCGACTGTGTTGTTGTCCTAGAAACTATCGTTTGGCGCATGTTAGTCGAGACAGTCACCGACTTCCGCGGGTCTTTGAAGAAACCCTTAACCGTATTTAGCGAGGATCGCCTACCCATGTCATCCTCGCCGTCGCGCTCGAGAGACCTCGACCTCCGTCCAGAGTCGTCGTGGTCACCCGCGAACTGCTGCTGCTGATAGCCGTACTCAGAGGCATCCTGCCTCGAGGCTAGGCTCGGGTCTCGCAACATTCTCGGCGTAACGGCAATCGATTCTGGTCGTCCTCGCGACTGAGGTCCCGGTGCTAGGCTGTTTGCGCTCGACGGTGCGACGAGGGGCTCAAACATGGAAACCCGACTGACGACGGAGCCCGATCTCTGCAGGCGCACTCGGCCCGTGTCCAGCGGCAGCGGAAACTCATCCTGCGACGGCGTTGGCGATGCGGCCCTCCCCTTGAGCGACTTTGTCCTGTCCATCACGGACGGCGGTCGGGACGTGTCCCTCTTCTGGACGGCGAAAAAAGTCGACTGAGGGCGCTCTCGACTTTCCGGACGAGCCTGATCACCTGATGTCGCTGAGAGCTTCTCGAGCGCCTTGATGCGCTGCGAGATGCTCGACCCGACGGTGGGCTTCATGGTGGCGAGGCTGGCCGACTGCTGCTGCGTGATTTTGTGTAGGAAAGCTGCGCCGGAGCTCAGAGAACGCGCCGTAGACTGAGTTACATCTGTCGGAGCGATGTAGTTGCCACGGACAGGATTAGAGACTGTTCGAACAGTGTGCGCCTGTGGAGCTCTTGCGCCTAGCGGGCCATTCGCAATTGTAGCACTGGGGAAGACAGGGGTGGGCGGAGATTTGGTGGCACTCATTGGCTTATTATCATTCTGCACCGTTGCGTCGCCGCGCTGAGTCGCCTCCTTGCTGGCGTGCGCAGCTGCAGCTGCAGCGGCATCGCGATCGTCATGCTTTTCCGCTGCGGCCTGCTGCTTGGGCTCCGTCGTCCGATCTGTCTGGATCGGTGGTGGACTGCTAGCCGAGGGTTTGGATCCTGCTTTGGGCTCGTCGGGAGTGGCCGCGGCCTCATTAGCCGTCTCTGCTGCTGGACTCGATTCCTGCGCCGCGGACGATGGGTCCTCGGGCTGGCGATCCATCAAAGGCGTCGTCGCTACGGTGGTTTTGGCGGCCGATTCTGCAGTGTCGACCAAATCTTGCGTTGAGAGTTTAGACCCAGAAGGCAGTGGAGCAGCTTTTACTGGCGGTAATTCCCCTTTGTTTGCTGCCTGCGCAACATCGCCGGGGGTGTCGCTGAGTGGAATCTCGGCTGCACCAGATCCCATGCCTTTTAATGATGCAGCTGGTGGGGCTTTTGACGTCGGAATATGCGCCGAGAACTGAGAAATTGGCTCTGCAATCCCTTTTTTCTCCTTTTCATTTTCGGGCTTAGCCGATCCCTTATTAGCGGCCCCAGTAGCTTCCTCAGCTGCTATAGCTGTGGTGGATTCCGATGCGACTGAAATGGCATTATCTCTGGTTGAGACCGCGCTTGATTTCTTTTCTTCTGGTAATGATGCAGCAGCAGCGGCAGACGACAATGATGGCGATGACGACGACGTGATTTTGCCTTCTTTTGCCTCTGACTTTCCAACATCAACAACCCCTGGCTTTGATGCGGTGACAGCGCCATGGACAGTCTCATCTGTGGAATCCGAAAGTGAAGACGCAGGAGTCGACTCATCATGCTCCGAAGAGGCAACTGTTGAACTTTGCGCTAGAGACTCTGATCGAGCAGTCTCCTCAGAGACTTCATCAATTTGGGCAAGCGGGGACAACGACGAGAAATTACTCAAAACAACGCCGGAATCCGCATGGCTAATGGATGCCGCTCGATCGTCGATTTCTTCGCTCTTCTGGATTTCATCCTCTTCATCCTCTTCTTCTTCGTCGTCATCATCGTCATCATCATGAATGTGCGAAGAGTGCTCAAAGTCTGGATCCTCCCCTCCCCTCAACACCATAACTTTTTCTTCGGCGCCGGGTATTGCCCCTTCTGCGGACTGTTGCTTCAGCAACTCCTGCTGCTTCTTCTTCTTTTCTCTCAGCTTCATGGCCTTCATAAGCCTAGCTTTCTCGGGCGTAATGGTAGGTTTCGCTGGCACCGCTGGTACGGACAGCGTCTCGGCACCAGTGGCTGTGGAGGGTCGTGAGGTATCGCCACTGATTCCTAACGCATCGTTTGACGCACGGGCAGCATCGGCGATTGGCTCCATCTCGGGAGTCTCTTCCTGGATCAAAGACGCAGAGTCTGCGTCCTTGCTCTTGCTCTTCTTCCCTCCCTTTCCAAACAACTTGTACCCGACCGGAAGCGACGAAACGGGCCTAAAGTTTCCGGCGACTTGGGGTCTAATCGTAATGTCGGCCTTGGGCCGAGGCGCGAGCTTCACTTTTGGTTTACCTGTTGGGTAATAGCTATAAATATCTGACCGGCTGTCGGTGGTGTCGATTGATTTCGTAGGTGAGGTTGGTCTGTCGTGAATGCCCGTGAATTTGGGCACTTCAGATGTGTTTGAGGCTGAAAATTTGCTATGTTCTGGGGAGGTTGCCAGTTCAGAGTTTAATTTGACCTCGTCTGTGATTGTAGATTTGTCGCCAGGTGTTTGCGGCCGTTCACCATCCGGTTCCGATCCTATGGACTGTCGCTTCGACGACCGTTGTTCCTCAACTTCCTCCTCTTCGGCGATTTCCATCAACCGTCGTCTTCGGGAGCTTGTAGAGGATGCTGTGGACCCAGATGCGGCATGCAAAGAACAGGCGGCAGATAGCTTCGTATCCTTTAACTCGGCGGCGGTAGAAATCTCGTATATGGCATCGTAGGGGGAAAATCGTTCGCAGACGGCGGTAAAATGCACAGCAACTCGAGCTGGTTTGCAGACATTAGTAACCCATGATTTGCATCTCGTCGCATCGCATCGCATGACATCGCAGATCGCCCGCCGATCAAAGAATGGACATGAAAGAAAAGGCTAACCTTGTATAAGTCGAGAGCAGTCTTCCGGTAAATATTTGACAATGACGTTCCTTCGCCGGTATCGCAAGAAGCCATACAATGGGCTGTTCTCGTCAAAGCCCTCGACGGCGTTTCGGATTTCGGTGATGCCTCCATTTCCCTTGTCCAGCAGCTCGACTTCGTCGCGACTCGCATACTTGATCAGAAACCTATAAATCGCACAGGAAAAAAGGCAGTCAAGTCTCAGCAAGTCAAATCTCATATGTCACACCTAAGAAGAACAGAGTTCGATCATGCATACCATCCCCCAGGCTCCGCAACGCCAGCCTGATGCGCCTCTACAATCTTGGGATCGTCCAACCCGTTTAGCGACATATTCTCTGCGATATAGCTCGGATATCTATATTTCGATCGTTTGCGCCAACCAGCTCAGCCAAGGCCAGCTCAACCAAGCCGGATATCGAAGGAAGAAACAAGACGAAATGAGTGGAGGGTACGAGTAACGAGGGACAGCGAAACGAGCGAAGAGTAACAGCAATAATAATGAGGGACTGCGAGATGCCCAACGCGCTGCGCTGGCTGTGCGAGCGTCTGTCTGTCTCACCACCAATTCTCAGGGGCAAGTTGCGACGACGTCGACATGGAGACGAGCAAAATCGCGACGTGGGGGAAGGCGGGATACGCAAATCAGCCTTTTCGGATGCTTCTCCTACGCTTCGGTTCGGGTCAAATGATGGAGAGAGGTTGAGTGGTCTTTGCCCGCCGGAACGGAATTACATGCAGCTGCAGCTTTTTTCGTCAAGGGTCTGGTCCGACACGCTTTTTTTCCCTCCCTCTCTTGTCACTCTGTATGCTCACTCTCTCTTACGACGCCTGTTGGCTGCGGCACAAAACAAACGAAGTTCCGTGACAGATCGAACGGGACCTGGCCTAAGAAAGAGTCCACCTGCGTAACTAAGCGCCGCGCCGCAGATGCATGGAGGCAAGGGGCGCGCCAAAAATCCCATGCAATGCAAGACTTGCTTTTGGTGCCACCCACACAGCAAGCAGCTCTCGATGTTTAATCAAAACGAGATCCAAGCCGGGTCTCTTTTCGCGGTATTACTGGCTGCAGCCGCGCAGTCAGCTGGGAAACAGGACGGCAAACACGAGCTGTCCAAATAAGCACCCCTTGCTCAGACAAACACGAGATCCATTGAGCAGAAGACGACAAGAGAAGAGCAGCCAAGACATGGTCAACAGCCGGGCTTCCATTCCACTTCTCTGGCTAGGCATGCTTAAGGGGGTTTAGCTGGCCGTTTTTTAGGGGCATTGGTGGTTCCCCCCCTGTCAAAGGCGTCTCCATCTACAAACAGGGGTCCTTTGCCAGCCAACGAGAGTTGCGCTGCCAGAGAGCCGTATTGGCACTTGTGCGTCTTCACCAGCGGTCCGCCAGCCATTGGGGGATCCCATTAGTTTCGTCGAAATTGAAGCTTGGGCCGCCCCTTGGCTTAATTGCGTCCCCTTCAATAATCGCGCGGTAGTGCGAAACGCCAGGAACAGAGTCGCAATGGCTTCGCATAGCGTGCTTCACCAGCGGCGCGGTGGCGATGAGGAGCTGCGAGTCGCTCGTTGGGTTTCCGCAGCTTTGTTCGGCCGCTGTGCTGTTATACGCGACAGATACTTGTAGTTCAGCTGCCCGTCTTGTTATGGCTGCTGCTGTTATACTTCCATTGCGGCCGCAGTTCGTCCCATCATGCAGCCCAAATGCCGGCGTCTAACCCTGAAACGCACGTCGTGCAGCAGCCGTCTGCACAAGGGCCCCATCGTTACCCAGATTAGCAGCCTATTTCCTGGTGGAGGCCGGCCAGGTTTCCGGATAGTTAAAGCAGCGGGCTCGGTGGCTATCTATTGGCGACTTGATGCGCAGATCGAGCGTAGCAAGGGATAAATCCGCGGTCGAGTTGAAGCTCGATTTACGGCTGACTACCTTGGGTATCAAAAGTTTATTTGATTCTTTAGTCATCCAACTAAAATACCTCGTAGCATCCGGGAAGCCACATCTGCGCCGTCGACATGTTCTCCACCACGCTTCTGTAAGGAGTGTCGGATTAGAAAGACATGCTCCTCTTTTGTCCTCTCTTGTCTTGTTGTCATTTCAAAAGTGGTATCATGTCATAAGACAAGGTTAATTACCAACTTTCCGGTTGGCAAAGCATTACATGGGGAATTAGTGGGTATAGAGTTATATTACTCAAATACCACGCTTAAAAAACTGCAGGCTGTAGAAGCTGTAGAAGCTTGTAGAAGCTGTAGAAGCTGTAGAAGCTGTAGAAGCTGTAGAAGCTGTAGAAGCTGTAGAAGCTGTAGAAGCTGTGGAAGCTGTGGAAGCTGTGGAAGCTGTAGTAATCAAATAGCTGTAATTTCCTCATATTAGCAATATGTATAATGTTAAATAACATTGTTATGAACTCTTAAATAAAGTAAAGCGTGAATAAGTCGCAGGCTATTTTATCAGCCTCAGATAGTGTTACCAGACGGCTGCCTTAACCTCGTGAACATCACCGCCATCCATTTCGTCCCTAGACATAAGAGTAACAGATGTAGAACTACCATCACCATAGAGCTCTTGAAGCTGAATCCCGGCCATCAGCTCTTGCTTGTACTCCACGATCGCCTCTTCTCCATTATCATGTACCCGAATAACATGGGCACGAAAAGCCCTGAGTGAGAAATAATCTGACACGGAGGAGTAGGGCCCATGCAAATCGAGCAAACAGATACGGCCTAGGTACTGGACTAAGACCTTGAACAATGCTGTTATGATAGGTGGGCCATATTTCTGCTGCCTCGTGTGAGAGAATATGGGTGACGAATTATATACCAAGGGGGTGTATTCAATACCATTGCCTTCGACAATAAAGTAGTAGAAATTCTTAGTCAGAAGGCCATCCACAGATATATTCTCTTTACGGAGACCAGCATCATCGGACGCAAAATAACCCGCATGGAAAACATTACCCGCAACAATCTGGCAGGCGGTCAGCTGTTTTATGATGGACTCCGTAAGCGATAGTGCCATTTAAGCTCTCGGTATCGACTCGTGAGATTGTTAGGAACGTATTTATAGTACACCGGTAACCTAGATAGAGGAATTAGATATCTTGCTAATAGTATAAATTACAACTCGGGGGCTCGATAAGAGATGCCTCAATAGGCGAAGGCTGAGGAGCGTGAGTCGCCATGATTCGTAGTAGTAGCACGCCAGAAGAAAAAGATAGGAGGCAACGATCCCGCTCTGAAAGTCAAAAAGTCAATAGCTCAAGGTACGCCACTTCTGCTACTCCTGCTACAACTACTACCTACTACCTTACCTACCTTAGGTAGTACTACTACACGTACTGCTACTATTGTAGGTACTGCTACTATTGCTACTTCTGCTACTGCCTACTGCTACTGCTAGGTGTATATAATACTTAGGTACCTTAGGTAATTAAATAATAGACTTAATATATAGCTCAACTGCTTTATCTAGGTAATTATAGCTGGAGAGTTGTAGTACAGCTGGGGTGCTGGATAATTGTCCCTTAATTTGTGTTTACCTGTGGCTGGAAAGCCGCCAAGTGCTCAACAAGTCAACGGATCAGTTGGGCCGTGAATTATCAACATCGTAGATTATGAAGAGCAGCTTTTTAAAACATGTTGCATTTAGAAATTGCCAACGCATATATAGATACAGGTAGCATAGCGTACAAAAACAAATACTTTGCCAACATCTTAGTCCAACCATGCGCCCCAATGCCCAACCCCTCCATGAGGCACCAGCCTCATCGCCTGTCTGTCTCTTCTGTAGTATGATGCGATATACTCGAACCCATGCCAAACATCACCTGGATTCTTTCCTCCTATAACATGGCTGCGTCTTCGTATGCTCTAATCAAACCATGCCTCTCATTTCCCCATCCTTGCCTGATCTAGCTGGCCGGCTCGTCCAGGCGACTCTGAATCAAGGTTAGACGGCCTTTGGCTGGATGGCAAGGGTTCCTGAGTCCTAGACGTCTGCCAACTCTTTTGACTTATCTTTTGACTCTTGGGCAGCAGCAGCAGTAGGCTTGTCAATGGAAGTGTCAAGAGGAATCAGCTCGGGACTGTCGCTATCCTCAATGGCAATAGGCTCCTCAACAAGCGCATCGCTTAACGTCGTAGGCACAAAGTCCCCTTCGTTGGTCTTTTCGTCTGTGGAAGCGTTGTCGTATCCGCGTCCAGAGTTACTAGCCGATACACCCACCGCGGGGGTTTGACCATCGGCAATCTTCTGCTTTGTATCCATGACGATCTTGTCTGCCTCGCTCACTTTCGAGGCGGCACCATGGTTTGCCTCGGGCTCAGCATCCTGGCTAATCTGGCTTTGTGCGAGAGCCTCCTTATCCAGTCGCACCACCATACATGATAGGTTGTCGGTGCTGAATCGGTTGAGGGCATGGTCGACCAGTAGCTTTGCTCCTTCGCTCGGGTCGTGAATCTCTCGGACAAGATCAACAGCCTCTTGATCGCTGCAGACATCCCACAACTGTAATTTATTCGTTAGCATACTTTGGTCTCATATGACAGCGAAAGTGTATCGAAAACTTCTTACCCCATCACAAGCAATAATAATAAATTCGTCAAGGTCATGCTGTATGACTGTTTCTGTAGTGTATGGGTGGCCAGTCACGTATTCCTTCATATAGGTATCTCCAAGCGCCCTGGTAACAGCCAACACTCCATTGACACGGTTTTGGATGATGAGGCCGCCGGCGTTGTGGATTCGTTTCCCTTCGTTCTCATCGCTGCCTTTGTGGTCGTAAGAGAGACGCAAGGCTTTACCGTTACGACACAGAATGATGCGAGCATCTCCCACGTTAGCGGTATACAAGACGCGCTGTCGACTGGAAAGGCCCTTGAGCTTCGTAGCAATCGACTCATTCGAACCAGCTTGCGGTGCTTCTAAAGACCCGTCCTTTTCTTTTTCAGATTCTTGCGCTATAGCCATGGCCTTCGCGGCAGCAGCGGTTGCGGCGGCCGGAGCAATGGCGAGAGAGCCGGTGATGGATCGATCACTGGGTACACGGTCTTCCCATCGGAGAACCGCAATGGCGGCCGTACAGCCGCTGTTCTTTAACGGGAGCTTCTCAAGCTGGGCGTCAGCAGCTGTAAATGACATATCCAGGAGCTCCGGAATCGGCATGCTGGGATGCTTTCGTATCATCTCTTCCAGAATAATGTGAAGCTTTTTTCCACACCAGTCCGCAGCAAAAGTGCCGGCATGGCCGTCGAAGACGGCAAAATAGCCATTGTCCGACTCGGAAACAGCAGCGTCCTTGTCGTCTTTACTTGACTTGTCCTTGCCGCCGGATCCATCAGCGGCCGGCGCCGGGGTGTCTAAAAAGTTGTACAGAAAGGCGTGGGTGTCCTCCATCGTCCGGCGGCATTTCTTGTTCCTGTCTTCCCAAACGCCAACGCGGAAGGTGGACTTGGGCCCGGGGACCGATTCGCCGGCCGAGTTGTTGTGTTGGCCCTGTGGCACGACGAGAGCAGGGTCGTGCTTGCCGAGCTTCTGCAGCGGCGTCTGAGCGCCGGAATCCGACCCGGAGCGGGTGACCTGGGAGAAGTTGAGAGAGTTCCTGGCCGAGGCTAGCAGGCTGCTGGCCTTGCTGCTGACGCCACTACTCCTGCGCTTCTTCTCGCCGACGTCCTGTCGAGTGGGCGGGCTGCCATTGCCGCTGCGCTTCTCGCCGCTGGCCACCTGGTCGGCGTTCTTGATGGGCACGGCGGACGCAGCGGTGGGGCTGGGCTCAGGAGAAGGCGACTTGTCGTCGCCCTTGGAATCGCTGTCAGGCTTGGAAGCTCCGCCGAACATTCTATTTAGCAGACTTCCTCCGTGAGAGGAGAGACTGCGGCGCTTGCTTCCTGCCAGTTTTGTGGAGTGCGAAAGGGGCCGTTCGGGGAATGGGATGGCAGGCCTCGAGATGAGTTGACGGGACGATGGATAGCCAGTCAAAGTCGCAGCTGAAGGGTCGTCGCGGGGCTCGATGGTTGCCACGCTCTCGTCGAGGAGGACGCCGCGTGATTGGACGCTGTCGGCGCTTACTGATCACGGAGCAGATGGAAAGGTTGCTGCGATGGCGTGGCACGGCGGCAGACAAAATGCGGGATTCGAAATATTCGACGGTTCTGAGGATTGGGAAAAGCTGCACCGGTCAGTGAGCCTATTGTACAGCGTGTGGCCTGCAAAGGAGCAAGCTGAAGATCAAGCGGGCTGGTGTTTGGGCAATAGAGGGGGGAGCCGGTATAGAAAAGGATGACATCGGCGGGGGCAGCGGCGGGATAGCGGGGAGGATTCAGCGGCTTGGCGCTTGTTTGCTTCTGGCAGCTTCGGGTGAGGCGCTGCTGCAGTGCTGCGTGCCACAGGGCCGGTGCCTGGCGAGGGATGGGCTTGATTTATCAACAGGTGCAGTACCTGAGAAACAAGTGGCACGCATTGAAACACACTCGCCGCTGGACAAGTGGCAATGCGAGCAGAGCAGTGCTTTGGCAGCGGTCTTCTTGATCCTGCCGACGAGCGCGGGCTAAAAGCGAGCAGTCTTCAACTTAATGGCCGGAGCTGGGGGACAGCTTTGTCCGTTGAAGAACAGGGTACGGCACGGGGATAACGGACAAGCAACAGGAATGGGGGTTCACAGAATGCCAGCGGAAGAGGTTGATTACATACCACAACGGAAAAGAAGGCAATGGAGAAGTCAATTTGGAGCGTGCCTCTCTCAAAGAAGAGACGAAACAGGTGGTTGAGGAAGGAAGAAGAAGCAGAGCCACCGCAGAGAGACGATCGTAGATGACGAAGAGGGCAATGGCTGGCTTAGTAGCAACGACTGCAAGGCGCCAATTAGCGTCTCGGCTCAGCGTGGCAGCCCGGGGAATGGCAGCGCTATAAGTAAGCTGGCCTTGCTATTACTACAAGGGAAGGGTCCAAGCCAAAGCTGGAGCTCCACGCACTGCTCTTCTCACGTCACCGCCGAAACGGAACAACGTAATCCTTCATTAATCATGTGCTCGCTAGAGTATGCAATTGCTAATCTCATCTCATGTAGGGGCTTCCAGCCCGGAATACTACACTACGTCGCCGTCTAATTTTAGGCTTGCTCTGGCCGAGCGAAACAAACGTCGGGGATGACGGAACGGAGCACGATTAGGCTCCAGATCCAAGATGACGGTCGCGGCGCTGTTTAGTGGACGCGGGGATTTCTAGCGCCCCCATCTATGCTATTCTTGCCTGTCCACTTGATCTCGATCTCGCAGTTTCCAATGCTACCTTGAACTTTTCCTCAAGTCGACGGCATCTCGTCTCAGGAGCACGACCGAAAATCTCTGACGACATAGAGAGCAAAAATAGATGTGCATACTCTTGTTTAAACAACACTATTGGCCTGAAACATAGTCGCTATAAATACCTATCGAGCGTATCCAAATAAGACACGCAAAAAGCCAATGGCGCCTCAACCATGCTCTCTATTCCTGATATCCGTTGGGATAGACAAGCATCTTCTGCATCATTAGGACAACAAAAATCTGCATGCATAAACATGTCTGCTTGTGTATTCGTAAATCATATTCGCCATCAACACCTCGTGCGCCGAACAAGAAAACGGACATGGCTCACTCCCGTCTAAGCCCCCCGCACATATATATAAATAACATCCTCAGACTTTACGATCCTCTTTAGGGGTCCTCATCCTACGAATGTTTCTCTTGCATCATGCCGGGATGTATGCTTCAAGAAGAGACATTCTCGAGAGACATGCTTTCGGCTTGGCAGGTTCCAATCAAGCACGGTCGGTTCTATTAATAGATCTTCTCCTTTGGTTATTCCGCTTGTGATGGATCGTGAACTGTTCACTTTCGAAGACTGTCGAGTCGGGCTTGGAGATCGTCATCGACCGGGTCGCCGCCTCCGCCTCCGCCAACAGCTTGCGCAATCTTGCCCTCGGACACAGCAGAATTGCCCAAAGCGGTCGGAGTCTCCCCGAGCTGTTATTCAACAGTTAGCCATGATTTCTCGCCTCTTACAAAGGAAAAGGGCAGTCTTACAGCCTGGTTCAGATCTATTCCAATCTCTTCCAAAACTTGCTCAACAACCTCGTCGCCTTCTTCTTCGATTCCAACGTCCATGGCATCATCAACGGCGTCATCCATCATCTCTTGCCTCTGCTCCATGATGTCGTTTTCTCGCTCAAACTCCATCGCAATCCGCTGGAGCTGTGGCAGGTTCATGGACTTGTTCATGCTGCCCAATGCCATCGTAGCGCCCTTCATGGCCTGCATCATCTGCTCGTTCGTTCGGTATGTCTAGTTGTCATCCGCTTGTCAGCCGGTATCGGGGTAGTTGCTAGTCCAGGACATTCCATACCTGCAGCCGTAGAGAAATCTTCTGCAGCTGACTACGCATGCCATAAAACTTCTCAACGTATCGTCGTGTGCGCACCAGATCTTTGGCCTGGATCTTGCAGGCGCCCATCTGCCCGTTCTTGGCGCTCGTCTTGATTTGCTGTATCAGCGTCTTCTCCTGCTTCTCCAGCTTGACACGCGTCTGGTCGAGTTCTCGGATGGCCTTGTCCAGCATGCGCTGGTTCTTGCGCAAGCGCTCGGCCGGCGTCATGCGCTTGCCAAACGCCCATTCCAGGATCTGCATTTGCACGTCGGGTTAGATGCCGTTTCCCACATGTGGGGGAGAAGGCTGTGATGCCAGCCATTGCATTGCCTCACATTCATGATGGTTTAGGAGTCGTCTTGCGGTAAGGCGGCAGCCACAGTGTTGCGCGATGCCGTAGATGCAGCAATGAAGAAGAACTGCGCGGTGAAATGGATTGTCGCGAGATAACAAGGCAGAGGAAAAGAGTTGGATGACATCTGCCTAGCGGAGTGCCCGAGGAGCGACGTACGTCCGTCCTGCACCAGCGCCCGGCTGCCATGCCTGTCGCTAAAAGCGTTACGTCGTTGCCCAGACCTCGGCCGTGTACCCCCGCCACCGCGCATCGGTGCAGAGATACTTGCAGGATACCTGCTGCTGCAGGCCCGATTTTCGCGGCCAACGATAAGATAGCTGCAGCCTTGCCGACCTTATGCCGGCAAGCTAGACCAATCACGGGAGCTTCGTGACCGCCGGGGAGGCAATTTGCTTAAACATCATGCAACCTTTTTACTCGACGAACCCCGTTCTACGCCTGACCCTCCTCCTACATACCCAACCTCTGCAGCGCTGCATCTCCGGCATTTCTGCGCCCTCATCCCGTAGCTCGACAATGCTGTGGGCAAGCTCGCCTTCACCAGCATGAGCCAGGAATACTTCAACGACAAGGGCAAATCGCCCGCGGGGGACGACGATGCTCACTTCGATCCGAACATGGCAGGCCAGGCGGGTGCATCCGGAGCGCGGCCCAACTACATGACGGTTGGCAACGGCATGGCCTCCGAGCACGCCGCGCACCTGCAGGGCATGCTCGAGGCTGATTCGGGATATGGAGGCAGCATGATGGGCGACGAACCAGGCATGCTGGACATCTCGACGCATGGCGACCGACGACAATCCCATGCTATCCACCAGATGTGGTACAACTCGCAGAGGGCCACGCTGGGCCGGTCAATCAACAAGGTGCTGGACCTCCTGCATAGCCTTCGAGAGATGAATGCTACATGGCCCGCGCATTATCCTTCCGTTCAGCGGGCTGAGAAGATGGAAGCTGATGTGCCTCGCCCGGGTATCTTACACTCATCCACCATGGAGGATATTGCGGCCAGGTCCAGCCAGACGCCGCCACCTCCCATGCTTAGGAGAGCCATGACCAGCCTCGAGGATGCGACAGCAGAGTCTAGCCAAGCGGCCGAGGCTCGACCTACGGCAGAGCCACGACTCGTCTCCCCTCAGATTGCTCAGGAATTTTCAATTTTGAAACTGGACTTGAAGCTGGGAGCTCTCCACCAGACCGAGCTTGTACACTCTTTGGAAAAGGGTTCCATTGCATCACTTCTTGATGGCAAAATTGGCTCTAGCATCAAGCATCTTGTATCGCTCCGTGAACGTATCGAGGATACATCAAGCAAAGTGCTCATCACCGGTGATTTGAATGCCGGTAAATCGACCTTTTGTAACGCCTTGCTGCGCCGCAAAGTTTTGCCCGAGGACCAGCAACCTTGCACCGCCATCTTTTGCGAGGTTCTGGACGCCCGGGAAAATGCAGGAATTGAGGAAGTTCATGCCGTGCACAGGGAAGTAACTTACAACCGAAATGACGAATCGACCTATGACGCCTACTCTCTTCAAGAGCTCGAGAAAATTGTCATTGATAATGAAAAGTACATTCAGTGCAAGGTCTATGTCAAGGATGTCCGAACAATCGATGAATCTCTACTCAGCAACGGTGTTGTGGACATTGCCCTGATCGACGCTCCGGGTCTCAACTCAGATACGACCAAGACGACGGCCATCTTTGCTCGCCAAGAGGAGATTGACGTGGTGGTCTTTGTCGTCTCCGCGGCAAATCACTTTACGCAGTCTGCCAAAGAATTTATCTGGGCCGCCGCCGCGGAAAAGGCTTACATTTTCATTGTCGTCAATGGCTACGACTTCATTCGAGACAAGGAGCGATGCCAGAAGATGATCCTCGACCAAGTTGCTGGACTCAGCCCGCGAACACACAAAGAAGCCTCCGAGCTCGTCCATTTCGTCTCCAGCAATGTCATCCCCATGGCACCTTCACCTCCTGGCGGGCCCGGCGGAGGCGGCAGCGGGAGTGGCAGCGGAAGTGGGGACGATCCCGATGACAATGGCAAGGGCAAGGACCTGGACAAGGTTCGCGACTTTGAGAAGCTCGAACAGTCGCTGCGGAGATTCGTCTTGGAGAAGCGTGCAAGATCGAAGCTTGCTCCTGCAAGAACATATCTGATGAATATTCTCAATGACGTCAATACCTTGGCTACCGTCAACCATGAGGTAGCCCAATCCGAGTTTAACCGAGTCACCCAGGAGCTCAAGGAGCTCGAGCCGCAGATTGTGGCCAGCAAGAAAGCCCGATCCGAGGTTGATGAGCAGGTTGTCCACAACATCGAAGAGACCTGCAAGAGCGTATACGATCATACTCGAAATCAGCTCAACGCTGCCATCACCTACGCCGGCAGCACCAAGTACGATATTCCGTACCCCGGAGTCTTTGGCGCTTTTGGCTATGCCGACGATCTTAAAGACGCCATTCTATCCCACATTGCGGATGCAGTCAGCACCTGCGAAGATTACGCCCGTGGCCAGACTGTCCGGGGCGTCAATGCCATCAAGCAGCTCGGCCTGCTTCATGTGGGCGATGAGTTTCAAAATCTCCACTTCCGACCAGATGTCATGTTCCGACGGAAGAAGGATGCCTTTGCCCGCCAGGTGGATGTCCCTACTGATTTTGCCGATTTTGTGGACTTTTCAACTCTGCTGCATAGCCAAGAGAAGTTTGCCGGCACGGGTATGGCCCTGACAATTGCTGGTGCAGTTGTGCCTCGCATGCTGGGAATGAACTCTTGGATGGACCACGCCATTACCGCTACGAAAATCCTTGGTAATGATAATCTTCGCAAGCTCATCCTTCCTGGAATTGTGATTGCAGGTATGTAGCCATTTTCTCGTCCGTATCTTTGACTTTTACTAACTGGTATTCTAAGCTGTTGCTGCCTCGGCATACGTCCTTCAGCAGATCCCCACCTCTCTCCCCCATCGGCTGGCCCGAAAGATTGAGGCTCAGCTCTCCGAGATTGACTACGTGCATACCAATGCCTCCCGAATTTCAGGAGCAGTACGCACTGTCTTGCGCATGCCCGCCGACAACCTGCGCGTTGGCCTCGACCACAGCGTCAAGGATCTCAACAAAAAGCGCGACGAGACAGTCAAGGTCAAGAGCGAGAGCGAAAAGGCCTCCAAGTTCTTCCGCAAACTGGTTGGCGAGACTCAGGTCCAGAAGAACATGGTTGAGGGAGTGGACCTCGATACCCCTCCGCAAACTCTGCACTGAAGGAAGAAAGATACAAAACAAAAAAAAAAAACTAAAATCGAATTCAGTGCTCCATAACGTGTTGATGACAAAAATAGATTGGGACTCATGAGACTTTTTGAATTTTCTCTTCTTCTCTTCTTCTGGCGTTTAATATATAAATATCCGCTACAAAGTTGCAAAATAGTTGAATCGGCCGTGGCTATGGCGGACACAAGGGGAAGGAGGATGGAATTAAATGGAGGTGGAAAACAAAAAAACTAAAGTGGATAGGAAGTTTTGAATTGTGATTCTCTACTCCTCATGCTTGTTGTAGCTGGTTTCTTATTCTAGCTTACCTAGGTATATATATATAGCCTGATGTAAAAGTAGCGTTACTGGAATTACGTGATGGTGCTGTTACTGATGAGAGCAATCGAAGCACAAGTTATAACAGAAGGAACAACGCTCATCATTATTTTATGTCTACTCTATTATTCGATGAGCGCTTGCCGTCATGGTTGATGATTGCTCATCCCACATGATTCGTCGTAGCCTCTCCTTTTCCTCCTCACCTCCGAAGATGAAGTCGATGCCTTCTCTGGCCAAGGCACAGATCTGCCGGTTATCGAGGTGGAAGTGTTGCGCGGCAAGGCGGTGCTCGTTGGACAGGGGGCTGCCAAAGATGCCCACGTCGTCTGTCTATAAAACGGTGAGCATTTCTCCAACTGTATGACTTGGTTATTCGAAAGAGGGAAGAAAGAACTCACCCCGAGTGACACCTTTACGCCCTCAACGCCCCTCCACCCCCCGAAATGATGGCCCTCGAACCCGCCCTCCACCATGCCCGCGTGGACATTACAGCTCAGGCATAGCTCAAGGCACAGCTCATCTTTCCGTTTCTCAATCTCCTTTTTCGTCTCTTCATCTTCCCAGATGACGTGGCCTAATCGCTGGGGTCTCCACGATAGTAGCGTCTCAAGCTCTGCCTTGGAGGCACTCGCTTGGATTTCTGCAAAGTGTAATGTTATGCCGAGACCAGCAGCGCGGGCCCTTTCGAATATCGGTGTAAAGAGTGATATTTCCCCCGAGGGACGCGCAGAGGGATCTCCGCATAAATCCAGACCTACTATCATTGCATGCCTTCTAGCATAGACGCCTTCTTTGGACGTATCAACAGCAAGTTCAAGCACAGAAGCCGCCATTTCCAAATCATGCCGCCTATCCACCGAAAGAATAAGCCTCGTGTGAAGCTGCGGATTCCGCTCCTCGAATTCAGATATTGTCGAGAGTAAAATGTCGACGTATTGCGCCGCGGAGAGGAGCGGCGTTGGACGAGGCGTGGTGCGCAGTTCGAGGTAGACGACGCCGTCTTGGAGGAAGGACTGGAGGACGGCGGTGGTGGCGTGGCGGATGGAGAATTCATCGGTGAGGAGGGCGTAGATGTATTTGCTGAAGAGAGGGAAGAAGCTTTTTTATGCCATGACTGTGAGAAGATGTTTGATATGTGGATATACGACGATACATGGGGAGATTGCTGTGTATATGCGTTTTGCTTCACATACGTTACGAGATTGTAGTCGTGTTTGCCCTCTGGTATGACAGCTAATGGATCTTCCAGGTCAGTGTGTCCAGAAGCTTTCTTGGTGAGCCAGATTTCGTGGAGGGTCTGGCGGGAGATGCTGCCCGTGAGATGGGCGTGAAGCTAGAAGCTTGGGTTAGATGGGATTCATCATGTGTAGAGATCGAATTGCGGAGACAAGGGGCACAAGCAAACCTCAATCTTTGGCAGAGCTATAAATTCCATGTTCAAGCTCTTTATTCTAGTTGAGTTTTGATTTCGCTATAGGTCTTTTGCGCAAAAAAGAGAGAAAAAGGTGGAAGCTGTCAGAGTGTTGAGGTGTCACGATACTGCCCCGCAGTTGGAGCACATGCAAATGTTAATCTTGTATGGCTGCCACGCCTTTGACAGGTTAACGGCGCAAACCATAATCACGCATAAATCTACTACAAGGAGCACATAAACATTTTTCATCAATAGTTCTAGCCCAACGGCCAAGAATCAAATATACATATACGTGTAAATGCTACCACGTTCCAGAGATGAGATGGCCGTCAATCGTACAAGCTTCCCTTGCCCTTCTCTTCCTGCATCCCAAGCTGTAATAGCAAAAAAGGGATATCCCAGCTAATGATAAGCAGTCCAAAAGCAGGCAAGAAACATTCTTTTCCCTTGCTTAAAGGTATTGTACACGAATGGAGAGGGAGACCACAATGCTCTTTGTAGGACCTCCCTTTAACCACATATATCGTCCCATCTTGCTCCTCCATCATTTGGTATTGTAAGCCAGTCATTACATTAGAACCAATCCTTGTATTCCAGTTCCAAGCGCCTACGTTTGCACCATGAGCGCCCCAAATCTCATTCCCTCTTATTTTTTGTTACATCCTGTTTTTTCAAGTTTATTTCGTCCCGCATCACCCTCTTCACAGAGCAGCCTTGGTCTGCTCAGGGCCCAGAGCAGCTCCGATCTGGTCCGCTGTGCTTCCCTCTGTTCCCGCGGTAAGCAGCTCGCTGCCAGTCTGTCGCATGTTGTACTCCTGCTCCATGGCAGTCAGCTGCTGGTCCTCGGCAAAGGACAGCGCAAAGGGAACACCGAGGAACAGCGCAGAGGTGGTGATGACCCAGGCGCCCTTGCCGCCAAAGGACAGGACGCTCCAGGCGGCGCTGGTGACGGCGTTGACGCGGCTAGAGACCCAGCCTCGGGTGGTGGGGGGGATGATGTCGCGGAGAGCGTATAGACGTTCGGTGAGAGTTTCTTCTGAGGGGTCAAAGTCGGACTCGTTGGAGATTTCGGATTCTAGGAAGAGAAGGCTTTCTGTTAGAACTGGATGCGCGTGCGGACGATGGTGGCTGGGCACAAAAGCATACCGGTATCAGTGAAGTCGTCATCCTCCACCTCGGCGCCCAGGTGGGCGTGTTGGAAGTGCTCGTCCTCGACTTCTGTGAGAGTAACCATTTTGGCGGATTGTATATGAATTAAGCGTATGCGCTGCTGCGGTAGGCAAAGAATTCAATTTGCGCAAATCGAATGGATGAAGACCCGATATCAAAAGTGGCGATAACAGAAAGCTTTCCGTTTGCGGGGGAGGGACACAGAACTCCAAAAATGCGATTCCCAAGATAAGATTTCTAAGAAGTTGTTTTCGGAGTTGAGAACCGGAGAAGAAGGAGAGGGTGCGAAAAGGTGAATCTCTGTTCAGAGGATTCTTTGCGAGGACGAGATGCGATTTAGTCGCTCAATGGCTGCAGTCACAAATCTACAGTGGTTCAAATTTTTTGGCCTCGACGCTCGCCGAGACCGATTTACGGGTCGCCTTTCTGGCGGTTTAGCCGAAGATATCGCAACGGTCACGTGCCTGTCTACAGCTCTGACACAGCAGCATATCTCTAGAAAGCAAATTGATGAGATGTGCTGGAACGTCTCTGTGCAAGTCCTTTTGGGGAAGCCCGTAGCATTCTCATCATAGAATGAAGTGAAAATATAAAGGTCTAAAAGGTTTAACATGCCCAGATACTACTGCAAAGACGCCATTGCAAGGAGCGTCACACAATTTTCAGGTGCCGACTTACACGGGCTCCAGCAGCGGATGAGCTAAGAAATATGCACCAAGAAAAATTCATTGCAGTAAGTGGCCACAGGGTTTTCCCGCTGCCATCTGAATTCGTTCCTCCAAAGCCGAAGTGAGGCTCGTCGATGATGTCATTGACCGCCAGGTTCGAACATTAAATGAGAAAATACGTACATGTGCCACTGTCATTTTCTTGTGCAACAGCGGCAAGACAGAAAAAGGAGAAGAATGTTTTGTCATCCTTAAGATTTTTGTCGAAAGTAAATCCTTCGCTCGGATCGCATATTCGCGGCTCTCTAGCTCAGGGAAAAAAGTTCGTGTTCTAAATATGATGGAGACTAACTTCTTTTTTAAAACTTCTCAGCCGCAGCACATCATCTGCCAAACTAAAATCGGCCCCCAGTGGTACACTGTATGCCATAATATATCGAAACGGAGGCGAAATAAATAATCAAATTGCAGAATTTAGAAAAGAAAAATTAGACGCAAAGTTTGTAGTTGTCACGTAGATGCCATTCACAGCTACTAAGCTGTTCCTCCCGTCAAATGCCGCCGCTACGAATTGTAACACATGGCGGCCTCCCGACCCTATCTCGGAATGTAAAAATAGATGAAGACACCTACCCTAAATAGCTGCATTTTTTTGCAGATATACCTTACTGTATAGGCAACATGTCCTTTTATACATGGTCATATGCGTGTGAAAATGAGAAGAAAAGACCTTTTCATAACATAATGCGAATTCCGTTGTATAGTGCTTTTCCAACAGGCGGAATTAATTCTCCGTCATTTCTCCTGTCGTGATGACAGAGGAAGAACAGGTTTTTTTTGCGCTGATCAGTCAGTTGCCCCGAGACTCATGGTCTCTGATCGTCGCATAGTCCCGCACGGGTTGACTTCCATGTTACATGTCATCTGCAATTCAACCTCACCACTCTTTCACTCGGATATGTGCATTGAAAACTCCCTGCCAAGCAAGAACAGGCGCGTACATCACAGTTTTCTCCTAGCACCTGTAGTTGCTCAATCAATGCGCACGTGTTGACTTCATATCAACTTCTCCAATACTACATGGTCTCCTTTTTGCATTCTCATATGCGCTTCGGTTGCATACCCCTTAAAATCCTATTGCTGCAGCAAAATGCCATTCGAAACGTCCAGTCACGATGCTCTACTCGAACACGCAGCACAACACACCAAGATCCACCGCATCAATACACGAGGCCATCCCCATCCCTTTGATCTTCACCGTAGCCCCCAGAAATCATGAATTCCTACACGTTACCTAAAAAATATCCAGGATCATATCCGATCCTTCTTTTCTCAAACAAATTCCCCCAAGATCAAGCACTTTGCCCTTACACCGCCCCGGTCACCGACGAAGTCTTTCCTATTAAAAGTCGTCTTGTGATCGATCGACCTTGCTCACCCTTTTGGTCTTCTCTTATTCCCGCCAACAACTCTAATAAGGGGGGAAAAGATGCCGGGGGGTGGAAACAGACGAGGCCGGGCTTGGGTCTCGGATTCGGAAGCCGGAGCCGCAAACAGCTTTCTGGGGAAAAAGGAAGAAGAATGCACCGGAATTGTAAGCGACATGTAAGACATGTAAAACAAGCATCTTTTCGTACTCACTCCCTTAATCTACATCGGAACGAGGGGAAATACCAAATTCTCTCCAGAATATCGTGACCAAAAAAGAGTCATGTCTCAGCGCTAGATGCTCCGGAAGCCGGAACTATGAAAGACACTACCGATCCAGCCCCAAATCCGCAAAGCACAAACATCGTGACCGCCAAGATGGAGTAGCACCAATAAGTCTGCGGCCGAAAACCCGGGGTCGGGCAAAGCCGCCAGGGCGAAGAAGAGAGAGACCACATGACACGGCGAGAAGCCCTCTCGGTACGAGCTACCGAGACAGATCCCCAGCTTTTCCTTCTCCTGTTGACTCCGTTATAGTGGCGGTGCGAGGTGAGTAAGAAAAGATCAGGGGGTCGGTTCAGCGCCACAGAAGATCACAGCAACAAGTATCAGTGGCTTTTTTGTTATAGTATACTGATTGCAAATTGATTACTTCGTGATTCCAATTCTACAGTATGGCGACCTGAATCATTGTATCACAATTAGAGTATAATGTACTTTCAAGAGATCTTCACCCGAAACGAATTCGTACAGCCATCCCTAAAGTAGCCATAATCCGGCCAGCGAGAAAAAAAATGATCTACACGAACGCCAACTACTCGGAAACGGAAGGAAGCCAACGGGAAGCCCAAATTGACGAATGGAACATATAAAGAAGGAGAACGAAAAAGAGAAAAAGTGAAAGACCAATGAGAAATTGCCGGCGGTGGCGTGCAAAGCACGCAATTGAGGCACTGTAGTTTTGTACGTAAGACGGGAGTGAGAAAGGAGAGTAAAAAAACGAGCCATTGAAAACCATGCGTGTACTTGAGGTACCACTATCGTGACTCGTCAAAATAATAGTAACGAAAATAAATGAAGAAAGAAGCTAAAAATTAAAATAATTTAGATAAATCATAGGATGAACATCCCAGTACGCATCAAAAAGATACTTAGGTACCTCCCTCTAACACAAACATCCTGAAGCAATTTTTTCTTTTTTTAATTTTTGCGGTCCTCGTGATGGTACAGTGCCGGCGCCTATATGGGTCTCTTTAGGCCCCCCTGACTAAGGGGGTGTCTGTCTGGCAGGGCAACGGAAAGAAAAAGATTTGAAGAAAAAGAAATAGAAAAGAAAAGAATAAAATAAGCGGGGTATAGGTAAAAAAAGAGACGACATGGGAGTTTGTTGCCCAGCAGGACCCACGATTTACTAACAAGTGGCCACAGCGTTTTTCTCCGCCTGAACGCCAAAGCGAAGAAAAAATTGAATAGCGGCTGAGGTCCCGGTCTGGGCAGTCGATAGTCTAAGGTAGACTGATTTGCGCGGACGGCTTCCCCCAGATTTCTCTAGCCGGGACTACTCCAGTTCTTGCTGCTACCCTCTTGAATTTATCGCTCAAGACTTGCCGCTCCCGCCCATCTAGCTTGGTTTTCTCTTTTCGTGATTTCCTGGGGAAGCGAGGCCGTGCAAGGGAGACGAAGCGAGGGTAGATGAAGCAGCCCCGGAAGATGATGCATGAATCAATTTGCTAATAGATCATTGAAGCTGCGTTTCGGCCGAATATTTTCCATCCTGAGACGATCGATTCGCCCGCACTGTGCTGGACAAATCTTGCTTCAAGCACTTGGGTTGTTAATTTATCAGATGCTCCATACAAGCGTGTATATGCTCGTAGGTAACTACCCAGGTAACTACCCAGGTACCTTGATAGGCAAACTGCAGTAGCTATACGTAGTTGTCTAATAAGCATAGGAAAATTTTTGCAAAGCGCTCAAGATCGGTACCTTGAGAAGTAGATGCGAGGCAGCCACCCGGTCGACCTCGCGAATTTACGCCATTACCAGGTCCCAAGACACAAAACGGGCATGTTCCTGCAGGCAAAATCACCTCAAGTCAGCAAACGCACACAGTTAGCTCGCGTTAGCCTTCGCCCATAGCAGCTCATCAGGTAAACTGGGGGTAATGGAAACCCGTGATGGGAAAATCTGGGGGTAATGGAAACCCAAAAGCAGAGACAGTCGTGGCTCGGTGGTGCCGGGTCTGGGGCCATCGGCTTGTCTCTTGGCTCTTTGTGGGGTTGCGAGCCCGATGAGGCGGAGACAAAGACCGGGTGTGGAGCCTCGTTCTCCAGGCCGTGCCGAATATGCTGGGGAGAGGCGTCCAGCTTGCATTGTGTTTGGCTGCTGGCGCTGTCTAATCAAGCACTAGACTCCATCACATCACCGTATTTGCTGCTGCAAGTGGGCAATTGTCAAGTTTCCTTTGAGCCAATGCATCCGCAAACAGCACGTATGTACACGTACCGGTACAGGTACTTGTGCCAGCTCCTTCGATTAATGTGTTGTCGCTGACTGAATGAATTCAGGGGGCTGAAAAATTTTCTCTCGTGGCAGCACGGCCATAGGGGCCGCCACGCAATCTCGACGCCGCCGCAGATTGGACCATCGTGAGGTGCCTCGTGGCCAGCTAGACAGGGCCATTGGCCCGCTACCCGCTTCCGCCCAGGCAATAGTATTTCATGGACAAGGCAAAGGAGAGCATCCCCGCGGCTGGCCGCTGGGTCTGCGGCGGGAAGCTTAGCTGGAATACACCGGGGATGGACCCGTAGCCGGATCGCAACTTGCATGTAAAGTGTAAGGTATATACGAGCCCCTGCCTGCATAGCGCATTTATGCCCTTTTTGTTGGGAAAAATTCGACAATGAGAGGCTCATACCTCAGATCTACCTGGTTCAGGTATCAGAAAACAATGCCTTTTGAAGGTGTTTAGCAAGTACAAGGGTTGGATAATTGAAAAAAGCGGTATGCAGGATGGCCACCTGCATCGTGACTATGCAGTCAATGTAGTCCATGTACCGTAGCATTCGGAGAAAAAAAAAAGGGAAGAAAAAGAAGAAAGTAGACTAGGCCCTGCGCGTTGTGGAGGCGCTTGTCAGGTGGTCTTTTTCGTTTTTTCTTTCCCTTCTGGAGGCGAAATTGGCTGACTACCTATGACAAACAGCTCCTTACGGGCAGGTCTAGATGCTGTCTTAGCCAACCTTGCATTGTCACGATGGCATTTTCGAAACGGACAACGATATTGACGAGCCTGGGATTTTTTTCCTGGGGCTCTGAGGCGCTGGGTTGTGCATCATCTTGGGTAGCCGTCTTATACGACTGACTCTTGTGGGAAGTCGATGGTAGAAGCTTTGTAATGGCGTTTACTTGTCCTTGTGTGCTTGTCTTGTACGTCTGTATACCGCATGCAGGTACCTACATGCGGACAGTAACATTGGCCTTCGAATAAGACATTGAAGCCGATGTTGATGTGCGCAGAGTGGCCCAAGTGGTCTTGCGTGCCCTCTCACGAATCGGATAAGCGGCAGGTCAGAATAGACATTGAGGCAGGCTACAATGTTGCAAATGGCAGGAGTCGCACGTCAGCATGGTATCACATTTGCAATTGCTGGGACCCGAGAGGAAGTTGGAGCTGCATCATGCGCGAGACAGACTGTCAGCCTGAGACAAGGGATGCCTTGGTGTTTCTGTCTGTCGGTTCGTTGTACCTGTACCTGTTCCAGACGAATACTGCTGGTTGGCTGCTGGCCTGCCTATGGCCGTGTCTATCCTGCGAGTCATCACCAGACAGACAGACTCTGCTTTGGCCAAGCCGGGGAGCCACCACTTGAGGCTTAGCCCGCGTCTCGATCCCTCGTGTGGAGAGAGGGGAAGCTCAGAAGACGTCTGGAGAAGCTCTGCGAAGACACGACGAAGCAAATCCAAAAAACTGGGCTGTTTAGCGCAGAGCCTCGAATAGCCGGCTGCCAGAGCAGAGAGATACGTACCAGCGGTACTCGGTCGTCGCAATTATGGTACTTTCCCATTTGCGCATCAACAGCGCCGCTGCAAAGGTACCCTCGGCCTCCTGTGGGTGTTACCGGCCCGGAGGATTGGCGGAATTAGTGTCCAGGTGCCGCATTGCAGCGCCTGCGCCTGCCCTGCAGCCCCCGGCGCTGGTTCCTGATTGCTGAACGGTCAGGTACCGGACGCCCGGACCAGCGATACTGCCCCTTGGGGCCTAGCCGCCAGTTGCTATTTGGTAATACTTACCTACAGCGCACCGCCTACAGTGCCTGGAGAGCAGCTGCAGAGCTGCAAAGCGACGGCGTGAGGTCATCTCGCCATCAAGCATGAAATGTTCGCAACTTGCACGCTGCTCCGTTTGGGGTCCTTTAAGCGTTTCTCTACCCTCATTGGGCCCTGCTTGGGGCCGGTCAGTTGGTACTTGCATGTACAACGCGCGAGGCCGCAGGTAGAGCGTGCAGCACAGTATCGATGCGACATATGGCATACCGTGCACGGCTTTCTCATTCTCATTCCCCCTTTCGTCTGGACTCGCTCGTACTCGGTCTGTATTACACATCTATTGGAAAAAAGGGAATCTGGCCCCCCAGCCGCTTGGAGATGAGAGCGACAGTCATCTGACCGCGTGCCCAACGGTCTAGCCGGAGGCAAGGCGAGAAGCCCAGCAGAGCGGCCAACGTGATGTGCTGCTAGCGGCCAGGCCCCCTAAAACACAGGCGCTGGGGAGGCCCTGAAGCAGGTCATAGGGCGACGCAGAAAGCGAACTCGACCGGCCCGGATCACCGGCTGGCACTGTGCCGGGCTACTGAGAAGGAAAAAAAAGATTCGAGAAGCAGCTTAAGCGGACTCTGCGGGCCAGGCGTGCCGGAGGGACACATTGTACTCGCTGTACCGAGCGTACAGTGCCACGGCGCTCTAGCGGCACTCGGCCAGCGCAGGGGGGCTCCAGTTCTGGGCCTGGCAGGCCCACTGTGGAGGGGCAACGAGGTCACCAGTGCCATTGTACCGTGGCGTACCGTGACGATGGCAAGAGTCACGAAGCGTCGACGAGCTCGTCGGAGCCAGAATCGCCAGAGTACTTAAAGCCAGCGCTGCCGGGTGCGTTTTGCTGCTGATGAGGAGCTCCAGCTTCACTTGTTGTTCTTGAATTATCCCAATTGGCTCCCCAATTCCTCTGAGCCGTCAACTATCACTCACCTTGACATACTCTTTCTCCCTTGTCTGCATCTTTACTACCAGCATCCCTCTTCCCCAACAACATCCTCAGGGGCTTATAAAAAGGACAAAATATCAATAAACACGTCCCAATCCGGTGAGTCCAGCTCCAACAAGCACAGCCCAGCAAAAAGGGTCCCAGGCGATCCAATGATCTCGACCAGCGGCACCTCGGCACTGCCGAAGCTGTCAGCTCCTTCTGATCCGCTTTGGAAAAAAAAAAGAGAAACCCGGCTGCAAGCAGCAACAGAGTAGCTAACATAGGGCAATTCTGGTGCTTCTAGACACAGCGCCTAAAATAGAAACTTCTCGCTGCAGAAGTTCTTCCTCTTATCTCTCGTCACGCACCGACCTCATAAATACGAAGCCCGTCTCACCGATCTTGGGTCTTCTTATCTTTTCCTTCTGTCGCCAGCCAGACTGCAGGAGCACTATCAGCTGAAGCCCCCTGCCCCGCCACAGCCTCAGTTGTTAGCTTCTTTCACTGCTTGTTCTGAATAGCGTTATCTGGTACGTCTGATTGATGGATCTGACAAGATCATCTCTCCTTTTCCCCCGAAAACAGCGGTTTGCTGACTGGTCTTTTTGCGATTACTTCAGGATTGACACGAGATCCGCTGCGATTGCTGTTATTCTTACCATTTATTTTTACCCCGTCTTCATTTTAGGTACGTGGTGATAGCGAGCCTTCCGATTGGGCTGTTAGTGGCTTTTTCTTCCTTTCCTGTGCCTCTCGTCGCTCTCCGCCGTTCCCGTCGAATCAACATGGCAGTAGATCAGTTGCAGAAAAACGCCCAAGGGGGTGGCGGCTTCGTGACAATCCACGAGCTGTGGCCTGCGGCGGTGAGCACGAATCGTGTTTTACATCGACCATAGCTTTTTGCCAGCCAAGCTTGGGCGAGCACCCGCATTCCTTGCCCCTGGCAACTGCGATATCTCGCGTCCCAACACCACGAGTGTGGCGTTGCCATCTGATCTCTCCTTGCGTATCTGGCGTGTCTCACCCGGAGCTTGATAGCTACCCTTGCCTGGATCGTGTATGTCATTTGATTCATGCGCCGGGTTGGCTGTCAATGCAAAGCAAAAAAATCCTTATCTTTAACATTCTAGCTTGGGATATCGTGGCATTGAAGTATATATATGATATACGTCTTTGCAGCGACTTTGCTTGCAAACCAGCGTTCTCTTGTTCTTCCTGTCTTCATACCACCTTTTCTCTTTCCCGACCTTTGTATAATCATTCTTTTTTAATACTTTTTCCTGTTTTCAACTTCTTGCTACTCAAATCAACTTCGCAATGGCTTTGGCACTCCAAACTAATTTTTCTCCTCTGGACAGCTTCCCTGAATACACGGATCCCTTAGACCTACCATCCACAATGTCTTCCGCAATTCCCCCCAGGCCCAAGGCTTTGGCTCAGATTCAGACTTCTGAGTCAGATTCAAGTCGTGGTCCTTCACCCCAGCCCACTCACGTCAGTGTTCCCCAGGTTCCTCACAGCTTGAGGAATGGACACCGAGTTCTGCGCTCTGCCACAGTCGGCTACGTCGCCCCCCAGTTTGAGGGCAAGACGGAGCAGATCAAGTCCGTCAAGGCCATCATCCAGCAGGGCGGCTGGCTCCCCGATGCCTTGATCGACGAGCAGATTGAGTGGTTCTACGAGAAGCTGGGCATCGACGATGTCTACTTCCACATCGAGACCCCCGATGTCATTGCCAACCAGATCACCTCTCTCTACGCCGCCAAGGTGGCTGCCCACTCAAGAGAGGACAAGCAGGAGGAGATCCGTCTGGACATGGAGGCCCATGACCACGCCATCTACATCGACACGAGCGAGCCTGGCAAGGCCCACGTCGGCGGCCCTAGGTACGAGTCTCGTCTCGAGTCCAAGTATTTGGATCACCAGGGCAGGAGCAAGTACCGTGTCGAGACCTTCCGATCGCCTGCTGCTATTGGCGCCAGCCCGAGCTCAAAGGCCACTCTGCGCTGCTACTTTGTCTACCAGTGCCACTTCAAGCAGAGCCCCGAGTCTACCGACCCCAAGGAGACCAGAATCGAGGTCATCTCCGACGTTGGTTTCTGGCAAAAGGCCACCGCCAACACC